TACGCCATCGCGAATAAATACAGGACTATAGAGACCTAATTTTGGGGTGGGGGTGCAAAATTGATAGTTTGTGCCGAAATAGATTGCTACACCTTTATACAAGTTATTAATTATTAGGTACTTTTTTAATAACAGATTAAACCTTTTGCGCCCTCCTAGAGATGACGCCCTAGGCGACCGCCTAGTTCGCCTTATAGGTAGCGCCGGTCCTGAGCCTGCTTTTCTTTCTGGATTTGCTTTCATAGTCTATGTCAAAGGCAGTGGCATAGCTACCGTAAAGCTAGCGTAAGCAAGGCATAGGGGACCAAGGCAAATAGGGGCCCTTTTTCGAAAGTTTGAGGTGGGGGGGGGGGGGGGGAATCGAAAGTTTGGGGGGGAGGGGGGTGCAAATCTAGAGTCTGAAGGGGCGTGCAAATCGAAAGTTTGAGGTGGGGTGCAAATCGAAAGTTTGTCCCCGGTCGCCAGGAAGGGTCGCTATGCCTCTGAGGCGTCCACTAACACGTTTTGCATAGGGGCCCAAAAATCCTAGCTACGCCACTGGTCAAAGGAAGATTAGTCCACAAGGCAGCAGTTGTTTCATTTGGAGTTTTCTCTCCTTGAAGGCTTACTGTCCCCAGCAAACGAGCCTCATCTGCCCAGGATCATAACTAGAGATTTTCGGAGTTACAATCATACGTTCTTCCGACCAACCACGCCTTCCTGATTTATGTATTATGTCTTGCTTTTTTTCTAGCGACAAACTTATGGTCGGAAAATTCTCTATGAAATTGATATATTTTAAGCTGTCACCATATGACAGGATAGCAAATTTGTTTGTGATAGAAGTATTTGTTACTGGTTTGTCTTAAATTCAGTGACGGAGTGGCCTAGCGGTAGAGAGCTGGACTGCTAACCCTTTAGTCTCCGGGTTTAAGTCATTCCTCAGTCCATCAAGCTGTGGTGGGTACCTAACTCACGTTAGGGAAAGTAAAGGCGGCTGGGCATAGTGCTGACCACACTATTCTTTCATATACAGAGGTCACAGAAACAAATGAATTCTACTTCACTTGCCCCGTAGACCGTAAGGTTTGAATGGGAAATTTTATCTTAAATTCACCACTTTGTTTTGGATAACTGGGAAACCCACTTTTAAAACCAACCAATCAGAAGCGAGTTTCTGAAATTTCCTTTGTCCCACAGGCTGCCATTGGACAGTTCTCATTCTCTACACCAACTACGCCACCAACTTTGTCGTCTACTGTTTCTTCGGCAAAAAGTTCCGCCGCGAATTGCGCAAGTACTGCGATCCCATGATTCGTCGTTGCTGCTGTCGTTTCGACATCAACCAGTTCTTGAGCAAACAAGATTTGTCAGACACCACGGGGAGCAAAGGTCAGTGGGGTGGGGGGGGGGGGGGGGGGGGGGTGGGGGGTGGCGAGCAGGAAGATATATCAATATGTTGAAGTGGGGACAGAGGCGTAGCGAGGGGGAGGTGGCGGAGGGGTACATATGTCCCCGGGCGCCGACCTTAGGTTGCGCCAAAATGGGTTGTAAAAAGAAATTAAAAATCTCATTTTAGCTGCAGTTTTGCATTATAAATATAAAAAAAATATGTGTGTGGGGGGGGGGGGGGGTACAAATTGAAAGTTTGAGTGCGGGGGGGGGGGCAAATTGAAAATTAAAAGGTTGTTTTCGAGGGGGGCGCCAAATTGAAAGTTTGTCCCCGGGCGTCGGGAAGGGTCGCTACGCCTCTGAGTGGGGAGAGGTTCAGAGAGAGGGTATATCATATTTAGCTGAGGTTAGAAATGGTGGTGGTCAGGGGGGGGGGGGGCTGTTTGGGAAAATTATATTCTTGAAATAAAGGGAGACAGAGGAAGAGGGTATATCATATTGGGCTGTGGTTAGGAATGGTGGTGGGGGGGGGGGGGTTGGGAAAATTATATTCTTGAAGTGAAGATGGCAGAGAAAGAGGGTATATCATATTGGGCTGTGGTTAGGGATGGTGGTGGGGGGGGGGGGGGGTTGGGAAAATTATATTCTTGAAGTGAAGATGGCAGAGAAAGAGGGTATATCATATTGGGCTGTGGTTAGGGATGGTGGTGGTGGGGGGGGGGTTGGGAAAATTATATTCTTGAAGTGAAGATGGCAGAGAAAGAGGGTATATCATATTGGGCTGTGGTTAGGGATGGTGGTGGGGGGGGGGTTGGGAAAATTATATTCTTGAAGTGAAGATGGCAGAGAAAGAGGGTATATCATATTGGGCTGTGGTTAGGGATGGTGGTGGGGGGGGGGTTGGGAAAATTAAATTCTTGAAGTGAAGATGGCAGAGAAAGAGGGTATATCATATTGGGCTGTGGTTAGGGATGGTGGTGGGGGGGGGTTGGGAAAATTATATTCTTGAAGTGAAGATGGCAGAGAAAGAGGGTATATCATATTGGGCTGTGGTTAGGGATGGTGGTGGGGGGGGGGGGTTGGGAAAATTATATTCTTGAAGTGAAGATGGCAGAGAAAGAGGGTATATCATATTGGGCTGTGGTTAGGGATGGTGGTGGGGGGGGGGGGGTTGGGAAAATTATATTCTTGAAGTGAAGATGGCAGAGAAAGAGGGTATATCATATTGGGCTGTGGTTAGGGATGGTGGTGGGGGGGGGGGGGTTGGGAAAATTATATTCTTGAAGTGAAGATGGCAGAGAAAGAGGGTATATCATATTGGGCTGTGGTTAGGGATGGTGGTGGTGGGGGGGTTGGGAAAATTATATTCTTGAAATGAAGATGGCAGAGAAAGAGGGTATATCATATTGGGCTGTGGTTAGGGATGGTGGTGGGGGGGGGTTGGGAAAATTATATTCTTGAAGTGAAGATGGCAGAGAAAGAGGGTATATCATATTGGGCTGTGGTTAGGGATGGTGGTGGGGGGGGGTTGGGAAAATTATATTCTTGAAGTGAAGATGGCAGAGAAAGAGGGTATATCATATTGGGTTGTGGTTAGGGATGGTGGTGGGGGGGGGTTGGGAAAATTATATTCTTGAAGTGAAGATGGCAGAGAAAGAGGGTATATCATATTGGGTTGTGGTTAGGGATGGTGGTGGTGGGGGGGTTGGGAAAATTATATTCTTGAAGTGAAGATGGCAGAGAAAGAGGGTATATCATATTGGGTTGTGGTTAGGGATGGTGGTGGTGGGGGGGTTGGGAAAATTATATTCTTGAAGTGAAGATGGCAGAGAAAGAGGGTATATCATATTGGGCTGTGGTTAGGGATGGTTCGTGGGAGGGTCTGAGTGGAAATATATATCGAGGGGTTCACGGAGATGGGGATATAATTATATTGAGGGGTTGGGGTTCAGAAGATGATTTATTAATATTTTAGTGGGGTAAGGGAGGGGATTCATTCAGAGAGGGGAGCATGTAAACATTTGTTTTTAATTTTCATGACCAAGCCTTCTACTAAGTCGTATGATATATACAGTGTTTCTTCCAGACTTTTTTCTACTTAATATTTTCGGGGGGGGGGGGCGGACAAGATTTTCTGGGGGGCGGACACTGGTAAAAGTGTATGCTTTGTATATAAATTCCATTTCGTTCGGGGGACGGTAGACTGCAAGAAACTCTGGCATATATTCACTACGAGCCGACCCGCGGCGTACCTTACGCCGCTATTTAGTTGTTTTATTTTCTACTTTTCAGTAATTCATAATTTGTGACAGTACCAATGCTGCCAATGAAGATATTTGCTTTTTTGCTTTAAAACACTATAAGTAGCTAGTTATGGACGATAACACCCCCCCTTCCTTTCCGCAAACCCCTACCCCCCCCCCCCTAATAGCCGTCACTAAACCAGGCTCTACGATTGTAAACATTTAGCGTGAACCACAGTTCACCAGACCATGTGGGTGGTGGGTGCGATAGCGATATGCCAAGAGAGGAAGAGAGGGGGCTGCTAGGAGGCGCGCTTACAGCTTGGTTTTTATATTTTTGTCTCCAAGGAGAGAATTATATATATATAGACTATAATAATTGTTTTATTCTTCATTCATTTATACCATTCCATTCCCCCGTCTCCACTCGCCTGTGATGTATATCATTGATGTATACTTTCTATCCCTCTGACAGCGATAGAGTCCACCATGAACGAAACGACTGTACCTCCGATAACAGTGTCTAGATCCTCCAGCATATATACGCGGTCGCTTCCCTTTAGTACAGAGTTGTAGCGCTTTGCTCTGGGTAGTTTCTGGGGAAATGAACTGGGGTGGTTGTACGTGGAAGGCTGGAGTGGGTAGAAGTTTCTGGAAGGTTGGACTAGACTCACAATAGTAGTTTTTGGACACGGGGCAGCAGAGTGTGCTGTGTTTTTAATAGTGTCTGACACATGGATATTGTGTCGCCTTGTGTGTCTGTGTGTGAGTGAAAGTGGTGTGTAGGTGTGTGTTTGCATGCTATGTGTGTCTGTGTAGCGCTGTGATGTGTAGGTGTGTGTGTAACAGCCAGGTGTGTCAGTGTAACACGGTGTGTATGATAGGTGTGTATGTGCGCAACACAAATGTGTACGTATGTTAACTTACTATGTGTATCTGTATACGATGATTCAATGTTTAAAGTCCCGTGTTAAATATTTACAAATTGTACCATGCATAATTGATGAATTGATATAATTGATGAATAAATTATTTCCATGTTTCTATGCAACAATAAATTATATCGTTTTCTATTTTAAGTTTTTTCTTTGTTCTTTTGTTTTTACTACATTTAACCTTTTAATAGCACTCAATTTTCTTCCAATGTGTAAAAGAAAAATAAATTCTAATACTCAAATCTGAAGTAGCAAAACACAATCTTGACGTAGCTAGTTAACAAATTTTAATTGTTTCATTATAATTTAAAAAGCATTAATTTGCTTCATTTAGTATGAACTAGTTAAAGAACGAATTCATAATTCAAAGATGGTATGAAATGTTACAACAGGATGAGGAAATGACGTCAATTTGTCCTTATGTAGTAGTAGACAAGTTTCTAAACTAATGTAAGAGATAAAATATATAGGTACACATTTTTAGGTAAATGATAAATATGTGTATGCATTTTAAATAAACATATCATTCAGGTTCAAGGTAATAAAATCATAATTTTACATACATAATTAGAAAAATTAGAATGTAGATTTAAGATTTTAGTATCAGCTTGTATTGTGGCTATATATGCATTATGCGCATGTGTGTACTGTGGATGTTTGTTACTACTTAATATGTATTATTATTATTATCGTTAATATAAGTTATGGGTCTATGTGTAATCTAGCTTTCTGGCTCAGTGTGTAGTGTGGCTATGTATTATGTCTCTACTTGTATTCTTGCTTTCTGTTCAGTGTGTATTAATGCTCTCTATGTAGTATGTCTATGTGTATTATTGCTTTCTGTGTAGGTCTATATTGTGGCTCAGTGTGTAGTGCGGCTCTCTATGTAGTATATCTGTACGTGTATTCTTGCATTCTGTGTATGTCTATATTGCGGTTCAGTGTGTATTGCGGCTCTCTATGTAGTATGTCTATGTGTATTCTTGCTTTCTATGTAGGTCTATATTGCGGTTCAGTATGTATTGCGGTTCTGTTTGTATTAACGTAATGTGTCTTCTGACTGTACAGAGGCTCATCAAGATTGCGGCTTTCTATGTCTATGTGTCTGTATGTAATATGTGTCTGTTTGTAATATGTGTATGTATGTAATGTGTCTGTATGTAATATGTGTTTGTATGTAATATGTGTCTGTATGTAATATGTGTCTGTATGTATTGTTAAGGCAAGCTTGGACAACGTTAACAGTAAGTTAAGTTTCTCTTTCAAACCTGACGGTCTATAGGGCAAGTGAAGTAGGGTTCACTTGTTTCTGTGACCTCGGCATATGAAGAGATAGTGTGGTCAGCACTATGCCCAGCCGCCTTTACTTTCCCTAACGTGAGTTAGGTACCCATCAGAGTTGGGTGAACTCAAGAACGGTCTACTAACTCAAACCCGGATTCGAACTCGAGACTTACGGGTTAGCAATCCAGCTCTCTTCCGTTAGACCACTCCGTCCCCTTGTATATCGTTTACCGTCCTAATTTTTTTTTTAAATTAGGTTCCTCCACAAGTACTTGAGATCTAGTCAGTGTTTCTTCCAGAATTTTTTCTCCGGGGGGGGGGGGGGGGGCGGTAAACATTTTTCGCGGGGGGGGGGGGGTGCGGACACTAGTAAAAGTGTTTGTTTACTGTATATAAAATCCATCTCGTTCGCGGGGGCGGTAGACTTTCTTCGGCCTCCCCCCCCCCCCCCCCGAAGCGATGCCTGGAAGAAACTCTGGATCTAGTACCTCAAACTATATCAACTACTTTTTAACAACACAATCGCTTCAGCCCCCACCCCAATGAAGTGGTGACCAACCCTAATTTTTTAAGAACCCGTACAACAAATTACCTTCACGGAGGTCCGCACCAATGTATACCGAGCTGATTGAGGACATTCTCGTTGACGTTCCCATCCCACACAAAAATAACTCCTTGGATGAAGCGGAGGTGGACAAGCTTCATCAGATGAATACAATGATTTTACGGATTTTCCCGCTAGTTTTGATTGTGCTTGGTGTAACAGGTCAGTATTTTTGTTTGTTTACTTTCTTAATCTCAATCACCTTGAGAGGTGAATTAAGCTTGGGATGGATTTATTAAACTGGGATTTAAACAGAGCGCTTGTGTTTAGCAATATTGTTCATAATTTTTTTTTATATCTATCTATTACAATGTTGTTTAAAAGTAAAGAATCCCTTTCGAACCAAAACGGTCCGTTGAGCAAGTGAAGTAGAGTTCACCTGTTTGTATGAACTCCGGCATCTGAAGGGATAATGTGGTCAGCACTTTGCCCTAAATTAAGTTAGATACCCATCAGAGTTGAATGGACTCAGGAACATTCTAACCCTGAATCGAACTCGAGATTTTTAGATTAGCAGTGTAGCGCTCTACCTCAAGCCCACGCCGTTTCGAAATATTGTGTGAGGCGTAGAAAATTGACGCACAAATGACAGTGACAACTATTGCGAAAATATCGCCGATATAGTGCCAATGACCTTACCACTATAACATAGTGCCAATGACGGTGACACTATCACATAATACCAATCACTGTGACACAATCACATAACACCAATCACTGTGACACTATCCCATAATACCAATCACTGTGACACGATCACATAATACCAATCACTGTAACACTATCACATAATACCAATCACTGTGACACTATCCCATAATACCAATCACTGTGACACTATCACATAATACCAATCACTGTGACACTATCACATAATACCAATCACTGTGACACTATCACATAACACCAATCACTGTGACACTATCCAATAACACCAATCACTGTGACACTATCATATAATACCAATCACTGTGACACTATCACATAACACCAATCACTGTGACACTATCCCATAATACCAATCACTGTGACACGATCACATAACACCAATCACTGTGACACTATCACATAATACCAATCACTGTGACACTATCACATAATACCAATCACTGTAACACTATCACATAATACCAATCACTGTGACACTATCCCATAATACCAATCACTGTAACACTATCACATAATACCAATCACTGTGACACTATCCAATAATACCAATGACTGTCACACTATCACATAATACCAATCACTGTAACACTATCACATAATACCAATCACTGTGACACTATCCAATAATACCAATCACTGTGACACTATCACATAATACCAATCACTGTGACACTATTACATAGTACCAATGACGGTGACACTATCACATAATCCCAATGACGGTGACACTATCACATAATACCAATCACTGTGACACTATCACATAATACCAATCACTGTGACACTATCACATAATACCAATCACTGTGACACTATCACATAATACCAATCACTGTGACACTATCCAATAATACCAATCACTGTGACACTATGACATAATACCAATCACTGTGACACTATCCAATAATACCAATCACTGTGACACTATCACATAATACCAATCACTGTGACACTATCACATAATACCAATCACTGTGACACTATCACATAACACCAATCACTGTGACACTATCAGATAATACCAAAATCACTGTGACACTAGGGGTCGGCGTGGTCGAGTCAGTAAAGCTCATGGTTGCTACACCGAAAAGTCTCGAGTTCGAACCCTCGGGCAGATGAGGCTCGTTAGCTGGGGACAGCCACTCTTCTAGGAGAGACAACTCCAAAATTAAACAACTGCTGCCTTGTAGTTTGTTCTTGGTTGGACAAAGGCTATGGAAGCAAATCCAAAAAGAAAAGCAGGCTGAAATCGGAGTCAATGGCCTCAATGGCGCATAACCAGTTGACACGTAACGCTTAATTGTGTTGGAGGCGTGGTTGAGTCGGCAAAAAGCTCATGGTTGATAAATTCGAACAAAGTCTCGAGTTCAAACCCACTGGCAGATAAATCTCGATCCCCTTCAACACTAATAATTAAGAACGAAGAAGAAGAAGAAGACTGTGACACTATCCCATAATACCAATCACCGTGACACTTTCCGCCCATGCCAGGTAACGCTGTGACGATGCTGGTCCTACGGCGTATGGCCACGAAGGAAAACTTCTTGACTCTCCTGCTAGCGGCCCTGTGTGGGTTCAACATCCTGGCTCTTATCCTGGGGCTGATAGATGACGTCATATACGCGTGGGCGGACATCGCTCTCTACTCAGTCAGCCATTCCTTGTGTAAGTAAGTGATGACGTCATGGTGTGTAGTGTCACAATTGTTGTGTGTAGTGTCACAATTGTTGTGTGTAGTGTCACAACTATTGTGTGTATTGTCACAATTGTTGTGTGTAGTGTCACAATTGTTGTGTGTAGTGTCACAACTATTGTGTGTATTGTCACAATTGTTGTGTGTAGTGTCACAATTGTTGTGTGTAGTGTCACAATTGTTGTGTGTAGTGTCACAATTGTTAAGTAAGTGATGACATAATGGTGTGTAGTGTCACAATTGTTGTGTGTAGTGTCACAGTTGTTGTGTGTAGTGTCACAATTGTTGTGTGTAGTGTCACAATTGTTGTGTGTAGTGTCACAATTGTTGTGTAAGTGATGACATTATGGTGTGTAGTGTCACAATTGTTGTGTGTATTGTCACAATTGTTGTGTAAGTGATGACATTATGGTGTGTAGTGTCACAATTGTTGTGTGTAGTGTCACAGTTGTTGTGTGTAGTGTCACAGTTGTTGTGTGCAGGGTCACAACTGTTGTGTGTAGTGTCACAACTGTTAAGTAAGTGATGACATTATGGTGTGTAGTGTCACAATTGTTGTGTGTATTGTCACAATTGTTGTGTGTAGTGTCACAATTGTTGTGTGTAGTGTCACAGTTGTTGTGTGTAGTGTCACAATTGTTGTGTGTAGTGTCACAGTTGTTGTGTGTAGTGTCACAATTGTTGTGTGTAGTGTCACAATTGTTGTGTGTAGTGTCACAATTGTTGTGTGTTGTGTCACAATTGTTGTGTAAGTGATGACATTATGGTGTGTGATGACATTATGGTGTGTAGTGTCACAATTGTTGTGTGTAGTGTCACAGTTGTTACATTTAATGTGTAAGTAAGTCATGAAATTATTGTCACATTTAGTGTGTAAGTTATGTAATTATTGTATGTATTATCACAATTAGTGTGTAAGTGATACGATCGGTGTATGAAATGTCTTAATACACTATGTGAGAAGTACGATATTAAAGGGACGATTGTTGCATGGCATTTAAGTTGTATGAAAAAATAGTGTAATTATAATAATGTAACTAGCGCAGTAATATGTAATATAGGGACAGTTATAATGTAAATAAAGCTGTAAGAATGATACATGGAAAGCCGTGTATCCCGCAACCAAACCTGAAGAACGTCAGAGTCCACCCAGCTCTTATGGGTACCTGACTCACGTAAGAAAAGGCGGCTGGGCATAGTGCTGACCACAGTATCCCTTTTACATGTTGAGTTCACAGAAACAGGCAAACTCTCAATTTCACCTGTCCGGTTCTTTACTATTCAAAGTATAGGGTCACAATTATAGTTTGACTAAAGAAGTATGAGTATAATTTACTGAAATATGTAAAACAAAACATGACAGTAAAACAAAAAAGAAAAATCTAAATTAGAATGAATGTACATTTACACTTAAAGAGACAAAATTATTGTACCAGAGACATTCCTCGTTCTTTTCTTCTTCTTCGTTCTTAATTTTTAGTGTTGGGAGGGCTCGAGCCTAATCTGCCAGAGGGTTTTAACTCGAGACTTCTTTTCGAATTTATCCATGAGCTTTGCCGACTCGACCATGCTTCCATGACAATTAAGGATTACGTGTCAACTGGTTTTGCGCCATTGAGGCCATTGACTCCGATTTCAGCCTGCTTTTCTTTTTGGATTTGCTTCCATATTCTTTGTCCAACCAAGAACAAACTACAAGGCAGCAGTTGTTTCATCTTGGAGTTGTCTCTCCTAGAAGAGTGGCTGTCCCCAGCTAACGAGCCTCATCTGCCAGAGGGTTCGAACTCGAGACATTTCGGTTTAGCAACCATGAGCTTTACCGACTCGACCACGCCGACCCTTATTTCAATTGAACTCCCCCTCCCAGCGACAAAAACTTATCTAAAAACAAAACCCATGGCCACTAAAGTATCTTTATAGTATTTGTTTAAAAAAGAAATACTGGAATCATTAAATAAAAAGCGGAAGCGACATACCTGGAGCAATCGTTGACCTTCCAAAATCAATTAATCAATTGCTCATTGGAGGCTAAATATAACTTGACCTAATTGACTGCACTTAGTTTACAACATATGTGTTTTACTGTAGAAGAGTGGTATATTAAAAAGTAACACTGTCGTAAAATTTACTATGTTTCGTTTCAGTATCTTCGCCGTTTACTGTAAAAGAGTGGTATATTAAAAAGTCACACTGTCGTAAAATTTACTATGTTTCGTTTCAGTATCTTCGCCGTTTACTGTAGAAGAGTGGTATATAAAAAAGTAACACTGTCGTGATATGTAAAATGTTTCGTTTCAGTATCTTCGCCGTTTACTGTAGAAGAGTGGTATATAAAAAAGTCACACTGTCGTAAAATGTACAATATTTCGTTTCAGTATCTTCGCCGTGCTGAATTTGGTATTGTTGACGATTACGTGCTGGTTGGTTGTCGTTATAACCGGATGTCGGGTTGCGTTTCTGACAAATAAGTATGCTCACGCATTTAATTTTTTAAAGTAGTTGGGTTAGCTTTTGGGCATAGGCGGATCTTGCCGGCTTTTATTTTGGGAGGGGAGGTGAATAGGTCCATGACATTTTTTTTCTGAGATAATTTGTCCCTGAAATCCCTTGTCCACCTAAGATACATTTTCTTAAAACTTTTTTGTCTGGGATCATTTGTCCCTGAGACTAGCTTGTTTAATTTATTGAGAAATAACCTATTCAGAGGCGTAGCGAGGGGGGCGGGCGGGTAGGGGGGTACATATATTCCCGGGCGCCGACCTTAGGGGGCGCCAAAATGGGTTGTAAAAACAAATTGAAAGTTTGAGGAGGGATGCAAATTGAAAGTTTGAGGGGCATGCAAATCGAAAGTTTGGGGGGGGTGCAAATCGAAATTTTGTCCCGGGAGCCGGGAAGGGTCGCTTCGCCTCTGAACCTGATGTTTTATTATGACAGTAACATTGACATTCTTAAGTGTCAGACTGGCTTGCTACTTTTAATGATACTACCTTATATTTATCATGTAAAAAAAATTTGTCGTTTTGAAATCGAAGGCTAGCTTTAATTTTTAAAAACCACTAACCTGGTGGCTAAAACATGTACATTCTGAGGTCTTAGGACATCCTGTTACTTTTATCGATCCATAACCTCATACAGGTCTAAGACTGGCTTGTTAGCTTTTAATGCCACACAGAGGTGTAGCGAGGGGGTGGAGCGGGGATGCGGATCGCACCAGGTGACACCATTTAGGGGGTGACACCAAGGCAAAAAATAGCAAAATATATAGGGAAAAACTTGAGGGGGGGGGTGCAAATCGAAAGTTTGAGGGGATGGGGTGCAAATCAAAAGTTTGGGGGGGGGTGCAAATCGATAAATTTGAAAGTTTGTCCCCGAGAAGGGTCGCTACGCCTCTGGGGGGGGGGGTGACACCATTAAGTGCCGCACCTGGTGACACCCGACCTCGCTACGCCACTGATGCCACATTATGTTTTTTTTTTTATAATTGTAGTAACTATTTTATTCTGATGTCTAAGACTGGCACAATACTTTTGAAGACCCATAAACTGGTTTATCACGGCAATAACAATTACATCACTACCATGTTACCTTTATTGACCCATGACCTCCTGCAAGTCTAATACCCTCACGTTACATGTATTGACCCCTGACCTCCCGCAGGTCTAAGATTTTCATGTTACAATTATTGACCCCTGACATCCTGCAGGTCAAAGACTATCATGTTACATTTATTGACCCCTGACCTCCTGCAGGTCAAATAATATCATGTTACATTTATTGAACCCTGACCTCCTGCAGGTCAAAGACTATCATGTTACATTTATTGAACCCTGACCTCCTGCAGGTCAAAGACCATGTCCAGCGTAAGGAACCAGATCCTGTTGATAGACAGTGTCTGTATCGGCAGCATCTTCGCTCAGACCGTCGTTGGCTACTTCGGGAACCGGAGCTTCTACGATAGCAAGTTAGTGAGGTTGATTTAGGTCATTAGGTCATTAGAGTTTCTACAATAACAAGCTAGTGAGGTTGATTTAGGTCATTAGGTCATTAGATTGATGTTGTTTTAGGTCATTAGAGCTTCTACGATAACAGGTTAGTGACGTTGATTTAGGCCATTAGGTCATTAGATTGATGTTGATTTAGGTCATTAGAGTTTCTACGATAACAAGTTAGTGAGGTTGATTTAGGTCATTAGGTCATGAGATTGATGTTGATTTAGGTCATTAGATTGATGTTGATTTAGGTCATTAGAGTTTCTACGATAACAAGTTAGTGAGGTTGATTTAGGTCATTAGATTGATTTTGATTTAGGTCATTAGGTCATTAGAGTTTCTACTTTAACAAGTTAGTGAGGTTGATTTAGGTCTTTAGGTCATTAGATTGATGTTGATTTAGGTCGTTAGGTGAATAGATTGATGTGGATTTAGGTCATTATGTCATTAGAGTTTCTACAATAACAGCTTAGTGATGTTGATTTAGGTAATTAGGTCATTAGAGTATCTACGATTGACTTTAAATCAATGATGTGCATCTATTTAAATAGAGATTATAAGACTCCAAGTCAGTGGTATTTATTAAAGTCATTAGATTATATGTCTGACTCTAAGTCATTGATGTTTACTCAAGTCATTAGATGTTCTAAGACCCTTAGTCCGTGGTCTGCATTTGAGTCATTACAGATTCTAAAACTTCAAGTCAGTGATGACTATTTAAGTAATTAGAGTTTCTAAGACTCCGCGTCCGTGATTTTATGAAGTCAGTTTGTACTACTTCACATTTAAATGTATGCTTTCTTTAATTTGTAACCCCACATCGACCCAAACTATTTCTCATATAACATCACAGAAACAAGTGAACTCTTCTGCACTTGCCCCATAGACCGTCAGGTTTGAAAGGGAAACTTTTACAAATTCCGATAACATCCCCATATAATTCCAGTTCTTCCCCCCAGCACCACAGAGGCCTGCTACGTCCCCTACGACTCTCCCTGGGCCCACATACAGTTCTACGTCTCCAGTCTCATACCTTTCATCGTGTTGATCCTGCTCAACGTCTACCTCATCTACCTGTACATGAAGAAAGACTCTGGCCTCATTGAAAGCATTGGCACCACCAAAGGTACAGGTTGTAGTCTCTTTGTTATATGCTGGAATATATTTACTTATACTTTATCACGGCTAGAGGTCTTTTACTTGATAAGTAGATCACAAAGTGAATAAGAAAAACAACTGCAACAATAGGGCTGGTAAGTAGGTCACCAACCAGTTATATGGCTCATGCAGGTTTTACTGAGCCGTAGAACTGGTTGGTGACCTACTTACCAGCCCTATTGGAAAACTGCGCGAATGGAAAACCGCAACGGAAAAAGTGCGCAAACAGAAAATAATGCGCAAATACTGCATAATTATACAAATACACTTTATTTTTTGTCATGCACAATGTACATGTGGTCATTCTTTATTAATGTCCATAAATGCACGATTTAAGAAAACAATTTGTCCTTGGTATAATTTGTCCTGATATATTTAGTCCTGATAAAGTTAGACCGTGAAATCATTTGTCCATGAGATCTTTTGTATGGGATCAGTGGCGTAGCGAGGTCGGGTGTCACACGGTGCGGCACTTAATGGTGTCACCCCCCAGAGGCGGGGGACAAACTTTTAATTTTTGCACCCACACCCTCAAAATTTTGATTTGCATCCCCCCCTCATACTTTCGATTTGCACCCCTCCCCCCCCCCCCTCAAACTTTCGATTTGCACCTCTTAAAGACTATTTAACACTCGAATTAATCACTTAATTAAGTGGAATTATCATTTTTCTCTATATATTTTGCTATTTTTTGCCTTGGTGTCACTCCCACTAAATTGTTTCACCCGGTGCGGCCGCCCCCCCCCCCCCTCGCTACGCCTCTGTCTGGGATATTTCATGGAACTGTTACATATTATAAAACGCATATGTTTATAACCAGCTCTACATCATAGTTGCCCTTAATTCCACTTGATGTGTGATCTAACCGTTTCTCTTCCTCGGACAGTCAGACATCAGATGTGCATGTTCGTCCTTGTGTCTATGCTCCAGTATGTACTCACCATCATCCCAGTCGCTCTCCTGTACCTGAACATTGAGATGTTCTTTGACATGAACTCACGTCTCGGGCAGGCTAAGGCAGTTCTAGGTAGGTTCTTTATCTGGTGTGTTATGTTCTTCATATACCTCCTGTTCAAGTTAGGTGGTGTGTTATGTTCTTCATATACTTCCTGTTCACGTTAAGTGGTGTGTTATGTTCTTCATATACTTCCTGTTCACGTTAAGTGGTGTGTTACGTTCTTCATATACATCCTGTTCACGTTAGGTGGTGTGTTATGTTCTTCATATACTTCACGTTATGTGGTGTGTTATGTTCTTCATATACTTCACGTTAGGTGGTGTATTATGTTCTTCATATACTTCACATTAGGTGGTATGTTATGTTCTTCATATACTTCACGTTAGGTGGTGTATAATGTTATTCATATACTTCACGTTCACGTTAGGTGGTGTGTTATGTTCTTCATATACTTCACATTATGTGGTGTGTTATGTTCTTCATATACTTCACGTTAGGTAATGTATAATGTTAATCATATACTTCCCGTTCACGTTATGTGGTGTGTTATGTTCTTCATATATTTCTCGTTCACGTTAGGTTGTTAGTTATGTTGTTCATATACTTCCTTGTTCACTTCACATGCGTGCGTAGGTAGGTTGTTCATATAATTTCGTGTCTTCACTTTACGTGCTGTTGGTAGGTTGTTGATATACTTCGTGATTAAGTTACGTGGGTGTATTGGTAGGTTCTTCATATAATTCCTGTTTTACTTTACGTTCGTGTTTGTAGGTTGTTTATATACTTCCTGTTTCACTGTAGGTAGTGTATTGGTAGGTTCTTTATATACTACCCGTTTTACATTACGAGCGTATGCTTGTAGGCAGTTAATATACTAACTGTTCACGTTAGGTAGTGTGTCATGTTCTTCATATACGTCTTGTATCAAGTTAGGTAGGCATGTTGATAGGCTCATCATTTACTTTCTGTTTCCCTTCACGTGGGTGTCTATCTTTTCCAGTTCGTGTCCATATGCAGGTGAAGTAGAGTGCATCTATTTCAGAGAAACAGTCTAGTCAGCAATACGCCCAGCCATTTTTACTTTCCCATTCGAGCTGGGTGGACTCAGTTACATTCTACTGACTCGAACCCGGATTCGAACTCGAGACATTCAGTTTCACGTTCAAGCGCTCTACCGCTAGACCACGCCATCCCATAATCATTTATCACCCAATGTTAAATATAAAATCGAACACGTTCTACTCAGGCTACAACATCACCGTCATCATGTTGTACTCCAACAACGCCACCAACTACTTGGTCTACACCGCCTTTGGACGGCGGTTCCGTCAACAGTTCAGGAAGCTGCTCCGGCCCTACTTCAAGAGATGGTTCCCCACCCTCGGGCAGGAGGAATCCTACATGGACTCTGACTGTGGCAGTAGAGGTCAGTCTGGGGGTGTAGGTCAGACAATTGATCTCTGGACGAATTATCTCAGATATAATATCACAGAAATGCCGCTTGATATTTTATCTGAGATATTTTATCAGAGATCATTTGTCCTGAGATCATTTGTCATTGAGATAATTTGTCCTTGAGATCATTTGTCTTTGAGATGATTGTCCTCAGATCTTTTGTTCATGAGATGATTTGTTCTGAGATCTTTTGTCCTGAGTTCATTTGTCCTTGAGATTATTTGTCTTAAGATCATTTGTCCTTGAGATCATTTGTCCTTGAGATCATTTGTCCTTGAGATCATTTGTCCTGAAATCTTTTGTTCTTGAGATCATTTGTCCTGAGATGATTTGTCCTTGAGATCATTTGTCCTTGAGATCATTTGTCCTTGAGATCATTTGTCCTGAAATCTTTTGTTCTTGAGATCATTTTTCCTGAGATGATTTGTCCTTGAGATCATTTGTCCTTGATATCATTTGTCCTGATATTTGTCCTATGATTTGTCCCGAGATTTGTCCTGAGATTTGTCCTGAAATTCGTCCTGAGATTTGTCCTGAGATTTCTCCTGAGATTTGTCCTGAGATTTCTCCCGAGATATGTCTTGAGATTTCTCCTGAGATTTGTCCTGAGATTTGTCCTGAGAATTGTCTTGAGATTTGTACTGAGATTTGTCCCGAGATTTGTCCTGAGATTTGTCTTGAGATTTGTCTTGAGATTTGTCCTGAGATTTGTCTTGAGATTTGTCCTGAGATTTGTCCTGAGAATATTCGTCCTGAAATTCGTACTAAGATTTCTCCTGAGATTTCTCCTGAGATTTGTCCTGAGATTTCTCCTGAGATTTGTCCTGAGATTTGTCTTGAGATTTGTCCTGAGATTCGTCCTGAGAATATTCGTCCTGAAATTCGTACTTAGATTTGTCCTGAGATTTGTCCTGAGATATGTACTGAGATATGTCCTGAGATATGTCCTGAGATTTGTCCTGAGATATGTCCTGAGATATGTCCTGAGAATATTAGTCCTGAAATTCGTACTTAGATTTCTCCTGAGATTTGTCCTGAGATTTCTCCTGAGATTTGTCCTGAGATTTGTCTTGAGATTTGTCCTGAGGTTTGTCCTGAGATTTGTCCTGAGATCATTAGTCCTATGATTTGTCCTAAGATTTGTCCTGAGATTTGTCCTGAGATATGTCCTAAGATTTGTCCTGAGATTTGTCCTGAGATATGTCCTAAGATTTGTCCTGAGATTTGTCCTGAGATTTGTCCTGAGATATGTCCTGAGATATGTCCTGAGATATGTCCTGAGATATGTCCTGAGATTTGTCCTGAGATATGTCCTGAGATTTGTACCGTCACCATTACAGAGTCCCGGTTCTCCCAAGCGACCGTGTCCCACTCCCACACTATGGAGATGTACAACCGACCCATGACCATCCCCCACATCAGTGACACGACGGTCAAGTACAGCGGGGTCGAGTCGTCAGAGAGCAGCTCGTTCCGGAATGTCAAGCCGGAATCTTCCGGCACCACCAGAAACATCTCTCTGGGCGAGGAGAGAAAAGTAGATTCAGACGTGACACTAGGTGCACGTGTTGCATGAAATAAATTATTTTTTTACACATGACTTGGGTTTTATTTGCTGCAGACTTTATATATATATATATATATATATATATATATATATATATATATATATATATATATATATATATATATATATATATATATATATATATATATATGTATATAGGCCTTATATGAGTTAATATATATATATTTATACCTAAGCTTATATATTTAAATATACATAGGCCTATATATATACACGCACACACACACACATATATATATATATATATATATATATATATATATATATATATATATATATATTCCTCTTGGGACCTAGCTATGCATTGGTGGGCAGATGAAGTAGAGTTCAGCCGACTTTACTTTCCCTAACGTGAGTTAGGTACCCATCAGAGCTGGAAGGAACCAGGGACGCTCTGCTTCAAAATTCCAAACCTTCGGGCCGATCGCTCTACCGTTCGACCACTCCGTCCCTACCACTGAGTGAACCCACTAGATTCCTAGCCAGCATAGGCTTAAATTGTCGCCCTCGTCTGATATAAGAGCTACACGGTGGCCCATTTCGACCAAGACAGTGGCGTTGATGGGCTCTTACACGCTGGATCAACTTGGATTCAAATCGTCCCCCCCCCCCATCTCACACCATCACCACCACCTTGAGGAAAAGCTCGTGTAGGCACCTTTACATAAAAATCAGCATCACCTTTCAAACCGTGGCATGGGTTCTAGACATGTCGGTGTTTTTTTTTTGTTTTTTTTAAATAGTGTTTTTAGTTGTGAATGATAATGTTGCCTTTGCCTAGTGGAACTTTGCGGGATACAGGGCAGGTGAAGTAGAGTTCACATGTTTCTTTGTCCTCAGTATATAACCAGGATAGTGTGGTCAGAGCCATGCTCGGCCGGAATCTTTTTTTTAAAGATAAAACATGTTGTCTGAGACTTGGCGGAACACTGGGCAGGTGAAGTAGTGTTGGGTAGGTGTAAAGTTCACCTGTGACGACAGCATATGAAGAGATAGTGTGGTCAGACCTACGCTCAGCCAAAATCTGTGTTTTCACAGACAAAAACATGTCTCAGTTGGGAGGACACTAGGCAGGTGAAGTAGAGTTGACCTGTTTTTGTGAACTCAGCACATGAAAAGATTATGTTGTCAGACCCATGCTCAGACGAAGTCAGTGTTTTTAAAAGGCAAAAACGTCTGAGGTGTGACGCCTTTTTGAATGTGGAGTCTGGTTATTTTGTGATGATAAGTGACAGACGTGATGTCATTTATGGATGACCCTCGAAACCCACAGTTATCTAATGATAACGGGTAGTCTAGTTCATAATAAATTTGGACCGAGTTTAATAGAACCCCTACATCATTAATGTTGACATGGATTAAAAAAAGACATTCTCAAAGCGACCGTAAGAAAAAGAAAACGTAAGCCTGAATATAATTCAGAATTTTAATACTTTTAGAATTAATCTTACAGAAGTTGCAAATCCAGAGAACTTAAAAATAATGTTTTGACTTTAAGTCTTCATTTCTATTTATTTTAATCAAACCTTATTTATAACCTGAAGTTTTATTTTCGTAAGACAAGCGTTGAATGGCTCTACAGGAACTTCGTGATCGATATTCTGAAAATCCCACTTAGAAAAAAAATCATAGTAATGTATACTCACAAATTCGCCGATACAATTTTAAATAAAATTATTTTGTTTAATTTAAACCACGTGACCTAGTTTAGCAGTTCTTCCCCCTATTTATGTGATAAATATAAACAAACAAATTATTTTTTTTTTATTTACTGCAAATACCAAAAACATCAATTACATCTTATCTTTAATACACGCAAATCATTCAGGTTTTATAACAATATTTATTTTAATAACATGATACATTATTTTTTAAAATATTTAATGGACCTTCCGAAAAATTTGAGCCTGTTGTTAATCCTATTAAACGATACCAGAAATAAATATCTGTCGATTATTCAGCGCGATTACAATACTTCTTCTATCAGAGGCGTAGCGACCCTTACCGGCGCCCGGGACAAACTTTCAATTTGGCGACCCCTCGGGAGCAATTTGCATCCCCCGTCAAACTTTCTATTTGCGCCCCCCCCCCCTCAAACTTTCGATTTGCACCCCCCCCCCCCTCAAACTATTTATAATGCAAAAATGAAAATGCAGCTAAAATGACTTTTTAATTTGTTTTTACAACCCATTTTGGCGCCCCCTAAGGTCGCCCCCCCCCCCCATCGCTACGCCTCTGTCTTCTATACATTGTAATAGAAGAAAGTAAAAACGGATGTTTTTGTTTTCCCGATAAATGTCTCCGGAAATGACGCTTACATTGTTCAACTCTTCAGCGCAATAAAACACTTTTCAATGTCAACTCTATAAGCCGATACTTACAAATGGCGTCAAAACAATGTTATCCTTAATTATTTAATGAAGTCCGTCGTCATTACTTAATGAATAGATAAGTTGATACTATGTTGAGATATTTTGGATCTACAAGATAACAATGAACATTCACATACTGTGAATTCTTTGAAATCAGCCAGGTATTAAAGATCTGAATTAGTCATCTAGAATCTAGTTTATCTTTTACTTATTTTTATCAGTGTTGGAATCGTTTCAAAATACTTTTGCAACTGTATTAGGACGGCGTAGTCGGATGGTAGAGTATTCGACTACGAACCAGAAAGCCATGAGTTCGAATCCTGGATACGTGTCAGTAAAAAAACATCCTTGAGTTCACCTAACTCTGATGTCTACCTGACTCATGTTAGGTACGATTTGGGAGAGTAAAGGGCAGTAAAGGCGGCTGGGCATCGTGCTGAACACACTATCCCTTCATATTCCGGAGTCACTGAAACAAGTGAAATCTATTTCATTTGCTGAAAAATTAAGTAGGCTTTATTTTATTTACTCGTTTACAATAGGGTCCGGTCTACGTTAAAAGTTTACTTTCCCTAACGTATGCTATTGCTAGGCTAGGGTAAGAGGCTGGTTCAGATTCAGGTTATGGCTCTGGCTAAGGTTAAGGTTAGGGTTGGGGTTGAGATTGGGGTTAGGGTTTGATTAGGATTTAAGTATGGGGGTTAGGTTCAGATATATGCTTAGATTTGAGGTTAGGATTGTGGTTAGGGGGTAGTTATATGTTTAGGATAAGGGTAATGGTTAGGGCTCTTGGGCATTGGCGTTTTGGGATAATTACTCAGGGGACTATTAACCGGAAGTTAATTAATTAACGGGGGTTGGGGGTAATGTCCTTCAACCCCGGGCTAGGTTATATTGGATGTGAATTTGATTTTTGGTAAAAGTGTTTTGTGATTGCTTGGTGTAGCAGATTTAACTCTTTTTCCAACGCGAAAAAGGTACTTTGTTTACTAGAATAACACTTCGAGGCAGGGGCGTAGCGAGGGGGGGGGGGGCGGGGGTTCGGACCACACCGGGTGACACCATTTATGGGGGTGACACCAAGGCAAAAAATAGCAAAATATATAGAGAAAAACTTGAGGGGGGGTTGCAAATCAAAAACTTGAGGGGGGGGTGCAAATCGAAAACTTGAGGGGGGGGGGGGTGCAAATCGAAAATTTGAAAGTTTGTCCCCGGGAAGTGTCGCTACGCCTCTGGGGGGTGACACCATTAAGTGCGCACCGGGTGACACCCGACCTCGCTACGCCACTGCTACGAGTACGTACGCGAATTTAACGTTTCTTTAATTTATAAAAAAAAAATTATTGACTTCACATTAATAAGAACAACCACTATTTTGTAGATTTTTTTCGGCGCTTTTGAGAAAGTGAAACTTCGCTGCCCCAGCTGTCACTGGTAAGTTCCATAAACATCACGTTCAACACGAGACGAGAGGTCGACCGAACTGGGAAGATAAAAATGATGGCTAATCATACCGAAAACCGGATAATGTATTCATATTACGGTCAGTCATTGGAGGAAGCCGACTTACCCTTCGTTGCCAAGATTCGACAGACTAACATGATTGTGTTACTCGTTGGGACGTTCCTGATGTCCGTTTTCGGCATTCCGGGTAAAAAAACAAAGTTGTATAATCCTATAGCGTTTCTAGTTATTTATTTATTTATTTATTGTTTTTTTTTTTTGCTATAAAAATCCAAAATTGTATTCATTAGCTTTTATTAAAAACAGATTTAGTTCAGATATCTTGGAACACATTTAATTCATTCTGTTAATCTAAAATCACAACCATACTACCTGTAACACTACCCTTACACCAAACTGTCTTGAAAATCTCGCTACTCTCTTTTTTAAGCAATCATTTATTGTCCCACCCCCTAGCTTATCCATCCCCCACCTCACTGATCCCCCCAGCTTATTAACCCCCCAACTTACTGACCCCCCAGCTTATTGACCCCCCCCCCCCCCCCTCCAACTTACTGACCCCCTAGCTTATTGACCCACCCGCGCCCCCCCCCCCCAACTTACTGACCCCCCAGATTATTGTCCCTCCCCAACTTACTGACCCCCACCTTATTGACCCCCCCACCTCACTGACCCCCCAGCTTATTGACCCCCCCCCCAGCTTATTGCCCCCCCCCCCCCACTTTACAATCCCCAGGCAACGTCCTCTCCATCGTGGTACTACAGCGCCAAGTACTGCGTGACGCTACGTCGACCGCCTACCTCATCAGCCTCTCCTTCTTCAACATCATCACCCTCATCTTCGCCATGGCTCGCCACTTCGCCAAGGCTCTGGTCGGTACGGATATCCCCTGGTACAGCCCTATCGCCTGCGGGTTAGAGTCGGTTCAATTTTGTTACTTAACATCTGTGGCGTAGGCAGGGGAGGGGGTTGGTGGGGGGTGGAGGGGGCAGGTATTGTGTTCAGTTTCGGCTGTTGTAGATGATGCGCTTGTGTCGTTTTATGTCTTTTGGACGTCAAACTATTTGGATGGTACACAAACAATAGTTATTTTAAGCTTTTAAAACTGTAAGGATATATATATATATATATATATATATATATATATATATATATATATATATATATATATATATATATGTGTGTGTGTGTGTGTAAGTGGAGAAATAGACCCACCCCAATTGTGCTATCCTGCCTACGCCATTGCTTAAGTGTGATACTTCGATTTTTTTTTTTAAATCGTGTCGGATTCTGGTTAGAACTAGAATTGATTCAATTGAAAAAAAATATGCATGTACAGATTGTATTATCATGATTTAATTATTAATTAGTTGTAATCTATGTGTTTTAATGTAATTTAAGTCGGGCTGTCCCCAGCTAACGAGCCTCATCTGCCCGAGGGGTCTAGGTTTAAGGCAGGTTTAAGTCGAGGGTTTAGGGAGGGTCAGTTCTAGTGTACAGGGAAAGGGTCAAGGTCAAGGGTTTAGGCATTGGTTTAGTGTTAAGAAAAAGGGTTAGAATTACGTCAAGCACTATTGAAAGTGACGAAGTTTTAACCACAGTCGGGATTAAATTCAGGTTTATATCAACGGTTTAGATTAGGATGCAGGGCCGCAGAGGCGTAGCGACCCTTCCCGGCGCCCGGGGACAAGCTTTCGATTTGTACCCCCCCCCCTCGAACTTTTCATTTGCACCCCACCCCCCCCCCCCCTCAAATTTTCGATTTGCATCCCCCCCCCTCGAACTTTTGGTTTGCACTCCCCCTCAAACTTTCAATTTGGTGCCCCCCCCCCTAAGGTCGGCGCCCGGGGACATATGTCCCCCCCGCCCCCCCCCCCCCCTCGCTACGCCTCTGGAGGGCCGGGAAAAGCTCGCAAATAACTTATAACGAGGCTCGCCTTTAAAAACGTTTATGACAAACGTTAAAAAACAATTTTCAGAATAGTGCGCTGGTTGACCCTATGTCCTTATCATTGTTGTCAGCTGGCATCTCGTTCTCATCTCCACGATGAGGTTGCTATTTATTTCAAAAAGGTGAGTACTCACAGGCGTCGCAAGGTGGGGTGTCACCCGGTGCGGCACTTCATGGTGTCACTAATTAATCATTAATTGAACTGGCAAAAAAAACGTAATTTTCTTCTATTTATTTTGCATCTTTTCGCCACAGTGTCGACCCCTTAAATGGTGACACCCATTGTGGTCTCCCCCCCCCCCCCCCCCCCAGCCTCGCGACGCCTCTGCACATGGCATTTTACTACAATCGACCTCTTGCTGTATCGTTCTATTTATATCTTAAAACACGTCTCCTAAACGATACGCTTACACTGGTGATAATGACAAATTCAGGCTTCTATACGTCCGTTCAATAAAATAAAAACACGAATCTGACGCATATTTCTTCTTGTCTTTTCAATGCCCAGTGGAAAATTGTTCATTCACAACATAATTGTCTCAATTTCTATTCTTTGTAATTGTTCTTAAACATTCTTTCTAATAATTTTCAATTTTTTTTTTACTCTAGGCATTAACGTGTCCCCCCCTTCCCCCCCCCCCCAGTGTTTCTTCCAGACTTTTTTCTCCGGGGGGGGGGCACTTGAAATTTTCGGGGGGGCGGTAGACTTTTCTTCGGAGGGGGGGGGCGGACACTGTTAAAAGTATATATTTTCTATATAAATTATATAAATTTCATTTCGTTCGGGGGAGGGGGGGGGGGGGGGGGGTAAGTCCCCCCACCCCCGAAGAGATGTCTGGAAGAAACTCTGCCCCCCCCCTAATCTTTGTTGATTCCATTGTATGCTTGGGTGCTAAAACTTGTCTTCTGTTTTTGTCGATGTCAAATCTATTCATTTTTTTTCTGAATGCCTTGCTTTTCTATCTTTTCCCATTCTGTCGTGTTAGGTACTGTGTCAAATAACTTTATATTTTATATAAGCAAAACTCAGTATTGAAATCCGTAAGTCTCGAGTTCAAATCCTGGTTCAAATCAGTAGAAACGTCCTGAGGCCTATCCAACTCTGATAGGCACCCAACTCACGATAGGGAAAGTAAAGGTGGCTGTGCATAGTGCTGACTACGTTATCTCTTCATATGCCGAGGCCACAGAAACAGGTGAACTCTACTTCACTTGACCAATAGACCGCCAGGTCTTGAAGGGGAACTTTACTTTTAAATCTAGATTTTTCCCCGTCTTAAACAAATAAACACAATAGTAAACTAAAAATGTAGTAAACGATCCTCTTTAGACCTAGGGATCCATTGAACAGACGAAGTAGATTTCATGTTTCTTGACCTCGGCATATGAAGGGAAGGGGTGATCAGCACTTTGCCCAGCCGCCTTTACTTTCCCTAACGTGAGTTAGGTACCCATCAGAAATGGGTAAAGTCAAGGACGTTTTACTGACTTGGGCTAGGATTCGAACTCGAGACTTTCGTGATAGCTGCCTTGCGATTGGTAAAGTAACGGACATGTTAGTTTTCATGTGTAGGCTTGACAACGATTCTTTAATATCGTGATGTTGTATTTTCTCTTGAATATCGTAATGTTGTATTTTCTCTTGAATATCGTGATGTTGTATTTTCTCTTAAAATATCTCAATTTTGTATTTTTTTGGAATATGGTAATGTTGTATTTTCTCTTGAATATCGTAATGGTTTATTTTCTGTTGAATATCGTAATGTTGTATTTTCTCTTGAATATCCTAAAGTTGTATTTTCTCTTGAAATATCGTACTGTTGTATTTTTTTTTTGGAATATGGTAATGCTGTATTTTCTCTTGAATATCGTAATGTTGTATTTTCTCTTGAATATCGTAATGTTGTATTTTCTCTTGAATATCGTAATGTTGTATATCCTTGAAATGTCGTAATTTTGTATTTTTTGGAATATGGTAATATTGTATTTTCTCTTGAATATCGTAATGGTTTATTTTCTGTTGAATATCGTAATGTTGGATTTTCTCTTGAATATCATAATGTTGTATATCCTTGAAATATCGCAATGTTGTATTTTCTCTTGAATATCCTAAAGTTGTATTTTCTCTTGAAATATCGTACTGTTGTATTTTTTTTTTTTTGGAATATGGTAATGCTGTATTTTCTCTTGAATATCCTAATGTTGTATTTTCTCTTGAATATCGTAATGTTGTATTTTCTCTTGAATATCGTAATGCTGTATATCCTTGAAATATCGTAATTTTGTATTTTTTGGAATATGGTAATGTTGTAATTTCTCTTGAATATCGTAATGTTGTATTTTCTCTTGACTATCATAATGTTGTATGTTCTCTTGAATATCGTAATGTTGTATTTTCTCTTGAATAACGAAATGTTGTATTTTTTTGGAATATGGTAATGTTGTATTTTCTCTTTTTTTTTTTTTTTTTTTTTTTTTTTTTTTTCTCTTGAATATCGTAATGGTTTATTTTCTGTTGAATATCGTAATGTTGTATTTTCTCTTGAATATCATAATGTTGTATATCCTTGAAATATCGCAATGTTGTATTTTCTCTTGAATATCCTAAAGTTGTATTTTCTCTTGAAATATCGTACTGTTGTATTTTTTTTTTTGGAATATGGTAATGCTGTATTTTCTCTTGAATATCCTAATGTTGTATTTTCTCTTGAATATCGTAATGGTTTATTTTCTCTTGAATATCGTAATGTTGTATTTTATCTTGACTATCGTAATGTTGTATTTTCTCTTGAATATCGTAATGTAGTATTTTCTCTTGAATATCGTAATGTTGTATTTTTTTAATATGGTAATTTTGTATTTTCCCCTGAATATTGTAATGTTGTATTTTCTCTTGAATATCGTATTGTTGTATTTTTTTAATATGGTAATTTTGTATTTTCCCCTGAATATTGTAATGTTGTATTTTCTCTTGAATATCGTATTGTTGTATTTTCTCTTGAATATCATGTTTTATTTTCAGAACGCATTGTCGTTTCTTGACAAATACAACTCCACTAACCCATCTAGTAGTTTTGTGTTTATCTGTGGGAATCATTGTGGCAGTGATTGTGTTCAAAGCTGTTAATTTCGTAGATCATGAAGGGTGAGTCAATTGTTTATTTAAGTTGAGGAAGGGGAGGGGGGGGGGGGTGGAGCGTCTTGTAAGAGACATTTTGGGAAGGAGGGGGGGTGGGAATTTATGATGTTTACAAGATGAAGAAGTTGGGGTAAGTAAATAAGATAACGTATTTTTGTTTTTATTTTTAAAAAGAAACAAACAAAAAAATAGGGTTCATCCATAAATGCGTCACACTCGTAGGGGGAGGGGGGTCCGTAATTCTGTGACGGTGTGTGTGTTGAGGGGAAGGGGACAGGGGGTGGTTTAGATGGTGTGACGTCAAACTTTTGTATTATAAAAAAGCAATCTTAGAAAACGAGTTTTAGTCATTTCGCGTTTTAGAAAACTGTTTTAATAAACTGTAACCGGAATTGATCAAAATTTTCTGTGTTAGCAGAGTTCTGACAAGATTTTGGGAAAATATCGATGTTTTAAGAAATATTCAACAGCAATTTTGATAGGGGGGGGGGGGGGGGGGGAGTGTAGGCTGAGGTGTGACGTCATTTTAGGTGGGGGGGGGGGGGGTCTTGCTTTTTGTGACGACGTGTGACGGAGGGAAGGAGGTAAAAATCGTCCAAAAAGCGTGACGTCATGTATGAATGACCCCCAAAGAAAAGAAAAAATCGAGTACATTTATAAATAGATGTATGATGTTTTAAACGGAAGAGTAGAAATGTGGGAAGCTGTTTAAAAGAAAAGGTGAGCACTTATAGTGACGACATTGATGAGTTACTATGATTTTTAAGCCAGCTCTATTGAACATTCTCGTGTATTCTTTCATCGCGAGTTTGTATGGTAATTGCAATGGAATTGGGCTATACTAGTAAAGGTTGTTACAAAAACGTTTGTTTATTTCGCGAATAAACAAACAAACATGGAGGCAAAAAGATCTTAGAATATGTTTTATGAGAATATGATATGATACAATTACATTCTGATGGTTTCGATGAAAAGAAAATAGTTTCAAGAACGGTATTCAATTACTAGAAAGCGTTCGAAAATCGACAGAAATCAAATATATATGAAATTTCATCCCCCTAACTTAAACGGCGCCAACGCTATCGGTATTTTAGAAATCGTAAATAAGTAAAGTACCAATAAGGGATAAGTTATATTTAGACATTTGTTAGATCCTTAGGACTGACTTAAAAGCTAGTTATTTTAGGCGTTTTGGATTTATTTGATCTATGAAAGTTTTACAGTAATTTGATCCCACTTGTGCCATACACACTTTTAATTTTCAACGTTTTACAATTATTTGATCTCTGGGTATACCATAAAATCTTGTAATTTGAAAATTTTACGTTTATTTCATCTTTAGGTATGCCATAAAACATCTTTATTTTTCATGTATTTGATCTTTAGGTATGCCATAAACCCTCTTTATATTAAACGTTTTTCATGTATTTGACATTTAGGTATACCATAAAACCTCTTTATATTAAACGTTTTTCATGTATTTTATCTTAAGGCATGCCATAAAACCTCTTTATATTAAACATTTTTCATGTATTTGATATTTAGGCATACCATAAAACCTCTTTATACTAAACGTTTTCCATGTATATGACGTTTAGGTATGCCATAAAGCCTCTTTATATTAAACGTTTTCCATGTATGTGATCTTTAGGTATGCCATAAAGCCTCTTTATATTCAACGTTTTCCATGTATATGATCTTTAGGTATGCCATAATGTGTGAGCTCAGTGTCAATGTTTGGGCATGGATGCAGTTCGTCCTGACGTCAATCGCTCCCACGTTGCTGCTGTTTTGTTTTAAATGGTATGCTGGTGTTCAAACACCACTCACCGAAAGCGGGCATGATGTTAAATAAGTCGACACTAAAAGGTGATTAGACCTTGTACCCTGGGTGGTTCGCCTTTTGTACGTCAGTCGCGTTTTGATGATATCGTTCGATGTGAAACAGATGGTATCGTTCGATGTGAGATGGTATCGTTCGATGAGAAACTGATGGTATCGTTCGATGTAAAAAAGATGGTATCGTTCGATGTAAAAGAGATGGTATCGTTCGATTTTAATGGAGATGGTATCGTTCGATATAAAAACAGATGGTATCGTTCGACGTAAAAACAGATTGTATGGTTCGACGTAAAAACAGATGGTATCGCTAGATGTAAAATAGATGGTATTATATGGTATCGCTTGATGTGAAACAGTTTGAAAGAGATAAAAAGAAGTATCGATATTTAGACTACATTGCTGTGAAAAGTATCGATATTTCTACTGAATTACTGTTACAAATATCGCTGCTTTGTTTACATTACTGTTACAAGTATCAATATTGCTACTGAATTACTTTAAAAAGTATCGATAGGTCTACTGTACTACTGCGACAAGTACTAGTGTTTTTATCAGAGGCGTAGCGAGGGGGGGGCGGGTGGGGGGGGGACATATGTCCCCGGGCGCCGACCTTAGGGGGGCGCCGGGAAGGGTTGCTACGCCTCTGGTTTTTATTGATATTTTATCGTGTATAGCTCAGACGCCTAATCACTTGATGCAATTCTAAATCATATCTTTCTCCCTTATAGTATTTTAATCCAAATATTTTCCATACAAAACTGTTGGAGTATGGCCTTATTCCAACCATATGCTTAACATTACAAAACAATATCACTCATTTCATTGACATCAGTATGTGTATTGGGTTAAAGGCCAAGCATGAGCTGTTGTGTGTAACCATATCACATTAATTAAACTGAGTTGCTTATTACTTTTTTTTAAATATTTTATCCAACGTATTTAAAAATTACATGTTAACGAGTCATGTTAATGAGATTTGCCTTTTCCCCCCTCTGTGTGTGCTTCTATAAGCTTTTTTTTTAAAAACCAATAGCAGTTTGCAATGCAGCAATTTAAAAAAAAATATATATATATTTTCTAGTTGTCTTTTTTTTTTCAACTTTTCGCCCCTAGATGAGATACTTTATGATATCCCGAGCCTCGATTTCCGGGGAGTTCGAACTCCGGAATTTAGGATTAGTAATTAGATGCTCTCCCTCCAATATATGAAGAAAAACTTTCTCGATCCATCCATCTTAATGTGCCTCCTAAATTATCAATCCACCTACCTACCCCCACACCAATTAAACTAATTTAAACTATGCCCCAACCTATCAATCGACCCACCTATTCCCCCACCTATCGATGTATTCGCCTAATCCCCTTCCCCATATCACAAAAGTATTCCTCAGCTATCAATTCACCCACCTATCCCCCCCTCCCAACCTAACAAGTTAACTCCTCCCCCTTTCCCGGATCTCAAATTATTCCCCAGGTATCAGAGTTTCTTCCAGGCATCTTTTCGGGGGGGGGGGGGGGGGGCGGGGGGCTCCCCCTGAAGAAAGTCTACCGCCCCCCCCCCCCCCTGAACGAAATGAAATTTATATAGAAATATATACTTTTAACAGAACAGTGTCCGCCCCCCCCCCAAAGAAAGTCTACCGCCCGCCACCCCTCCCCCCCCCCCCCGAAAACTTCAAGTGCCCCCTCCCCCGGAGAAAAAGTCTGGAAGAAACACTGCCAGCTAGAAATCCACCTATCCCCCCCTTCCCAACCTATAAAACTATCCACTCTCCATCCACACCTTCCCCTTTTCTCCATCCACAGTCCGCGCCCAGATGAAACTCCTCGTCGTCATCTCCAACATCGCCTTCATCGTCTCCCTTATTCCCATGGGCGTGTTTCCACGTCGTGGCCAAGAAGGTCTTCCCAAACACGTCTCGGGGGCACGCTCAGAGGGAACTCGGTAAGTTCTCTTCCCTCCCGGACGTCCGCTTTCTAGTTCGTTTGAAATTTTAAAAAAAAATTCCCGTCAAGTCCTGAAGAAGTTGGGATAAGTCCGTTCAGACACAGCGTACACTGAAACTATCAATCTATATATATATTTATATATATATAATATATATATATATATATATATATATATATATATATATATATATATATATATATATATATAAAATTCTCTTCTTGGAGACGCTAGAAAACAAGCTGTAAGCGCGCTCCCTACCACCCCACCCCTACATGGTCTGGTGAGCTGTGGTTCACGCTAAATGTTTACAATCGTAGAGCCGGGATTAGTGACGGCTATTGGGGGCAGGTAATTTAGTCTGAAACGATTTTAAACTTAGGGGAGGTAACTAAGAGGTGGCTGCTTTCACGGGGGGGGGGGGAGAATAGTGGTTGGGGGATGGAGGGTGAGGGGGGGGGGGGGGGGGTTATCGTCCTTAACGACCTACTGATAGTGTTTTAAAGCAAATATTTTCAGTGGCAGCATTGGTACTGTCGAATTCACAAATTATGAATTTCTGAAAAGTAGAAAATAAAACAACTAAATCCGAGGGCCGGCTCGTACTGAATAAAACAAAAGGTCGTTGACACTAAAACGAGTTAAATCCTATCTACACGTGCACAGTCTATTTTAAATATAAATACATACGCTAGTACACAAACTAAGATAATGTGGCTATCTAACAGTACAGAACTAACCGACACTAGCGTAATTTAGAGAACTGAACTAAGCTGAGGCGAGCATACACGTTCTCACACACCTTATAGGGCTGGTAAGTAGGTCAATAAACAGTTCTAATGCTCATGCAGGTTTTATTGAGCCGTAGAACTGGTTGGTGACCTACTTACCAGCCTTATATACGCGTACAAAAACAGGTACAAAGCCGGAATATGATTACGTTACTGACACAACTCACTGAAAGAGGTTTGAACAGGGACAGGGTACAAAGTACAAACAATATTCACCCCCCATTCATCCCCCCCTTCACATGTTCACTACAAAGAGTAACTAACTTACGTTACGAAAAGCAAAAGCGGCTTGGCATAGTGCTGACCACACTCTTCATTCATCTTTCTTCTTCTTCTTCGTTCTTAATTTTTAGTGTTGGAAGAACAAACTACAAGGCAGCAGTTGTTTGATTTTGGAGTAGTCTCTCCTTAAAGAGCTCACGAGCCTCATCTGCCCGAGGGTTCGAACTCGAGACTTCTCGGTTTAACATGAGCTTTACCAACTCGACCACGCCGACCCCCCCCCCCCCCCTACTCTTAATTCATTTGCCGAGCTTCATAAAACATGCATACTCTATTTCATCTACCCTTTGACCGCCCAGCTCAAAGAATAACTCTACTACATTAAAATTGGCTTTGACGGCGTCTAGGCAACGACTCCGTGGTGCTGCTGATGTATATGAACAACGCCAGTAATTTCCTCATCTACTGTTTCTTCGGCAAGAGTTCCGCCAGGAGCTGAGCAAGCTTTTGTTTGGTACGCGAACTAAACACCCATCACTTGGTGGGGAATCGACTGAAAATCCAGGTACGTCCAATAACTCTTTTGTGTGAAAAATCAGGTTTACTTATGTCATTGAATGTTATATGAGATTCAGTGTTTGATTATGTCATTCAATGTTATATGACATTCAGTGTTTGATTTTGTCATTCAATGTTATATGACATTCAGTATTTGCTTATGTCATTTAATAATATATAATTCAGTATTTAATTTTGTCATTGAATGTTATATGACATTCGGTGTTTTATTTTGTCAGTCAATGTTATATGACATTCAGTATTTGATTATTGCATTGAATGTTAGATGACATTCAATATTTGATTATTGCTTTGAATGATAGATGACATTCATTATTTGATTTGTTCATTGAATGTTATATGACATTCAGTGTTAGATTATGTCATTGAATGTGATATGACAATTCAGTATTTGATTATGTTATTCAATGTTATATGACATTCAGTATTTGATTATTGCATTGAATGTTATATGACATTCAGTATTTGATTTTGTCATTGAATGTTATATGACATTCAGTATTTGATTATGTCATTCAGTGCTATATGACATTCAGTATTTGATTATTGCATTGAATGTTAGATGACATTCAGTATTTGATTTTGTCATTGAATGTTATATGACATTCAGTGTTTGATTATGTCATTGAATGTTATATGACATTCAGAATTTGCTTTTGATATTGAATTTTATATGGCGTTCAGTATTTGCTTACGGTGTGCTAAGTCACTGAATGCTATATTAATACGTTTAGTTTTTTGCATATTTTGCCCTAACTACTAAACACCGGTCACATTGGATGAGGAGGAGGGGGAGGGGGGGGGACTGAGAATCCTAGTTCGTCTCAGAATAATTGCGTACTAAAAATTCAGGTTTTGCTTAGCAATGTAAACAGAAAGTGTTATTTCAACGCCAAGGATTCGGTGCCGTGAGGAGTGGTAGGTTCGGAACCCGTCGGGTCTGTCTGTTCTGTCTTAACTTGGGACTATATTCTGTACTTTGTCTACCCTTGGCGTTGAAATAACACTTTCTGTTTACATTGCTATTTCAGTCACAACGCCTGCTTCCACCCCTCACCAGGTTTTGCTTATGCCATTGAATATTATATATCATTCAGTATTTACTTGTTATTGAATATTATATATCATTCAGTATTTACTTGTTATTGAATATTATATAATATTCAGTCTTTACTTCTGTCATTGAATATTATATTAACTTTCAGTATTTACTTATGTTATTGAATGTTATATAACATTCCATGTTTGCTTCTGTCATGGAATTTTCTATAACATCCAGTATTTCGATGGTCTCGCTCGCAAACCGTCTATATCAAAAAAAATTCGATTAAGTTTTTTTTTACATAAATCAAAAGCCTGTCTGATAATATTATAGAAATCTGTAGAATGATATCGAGGTATAATCATTCGAACAAACCGCCTATTATTTCAAGCGCTAAAAATCTCGGAACAAAACGAATATCGCTATATCTGTCAGTACGCCTTTGATCGGAAACGCAGTCGTACGCCGCAATCATACCAATTTATACAACAGCAGTCACAGTACTTATAGGTAATGATATTTGATTAATTATGTTCGGCTATTCTATTACATTTTATCATTTAAAGAATAATAAACAAATAGTATTTGTTTAATACAGCCTATTTCCAGATTTCAATAACCAAACTGTTTTGTTTACAATTGTTTAGGCTAACACAATGCTTTGAAACTAGATCTTAATTCTAGAATCTAAATATCAATCAAAACAATATTATTCGAATTATATTTCCACAAGATTGTGAAATAAATTTAATTGTTTTTTAATTCACTACTAACTTTAGATTGAGGATTTATCTACGTGTTAAGAAATGTTTTTTATGGTAGGTTACAAAATGTTTGGCGTACATGTTCAACGACATGGTTAGTTGTCTTTAGTAAATGCTTTTATGCTTAATTTTCAACAGACACGCCTCTCTCAATACACCAGAATCTATCATCGGACGAGCTTCTCTCAACAGACCAGCCTCTCCCAACATACCAGCCCTCTCTCAACAGACCAGCCTCTCTCAACAGACCAGCCTCTCTCAACAGACAGCCTCTCTCAACAGACCAGCCTCTCTCAACAGATCGACTTCTCTCTATAGACCAGCTTCTCAACATATCAGCCTCTCTCAACAGAGCAGACTCTCAACAGACCAGCCTCTCTCAACAGAACAGTCTTACCATACAAGACACCATCAGCTCTCAAGTAACCAATCTTAAAGACACCAGCATCTCTCAGCAGACCAGCCCTTCTCTATAGACCAGTCGTAACATACAAAAGACCAAACTCTCTTAAATGACCAATCTTACCATACAGTACACCAGAATATCTCGACAAACTAGTCTACCCTCTAAGACACCAGCCTCTCTCAACAGACCAGCCTCTCTCAACAGACCAGTCTTACCATACAAGAGACCAGCCTCTCTCAAAAGATTAGTTTTATCAAACAATAGACCAGCCTGTCTCAACACACCAGTCTTGCCGTACAAGACTCAAGTCTTTCGCAACAGAGCAGTCGTAACATACAATAGACCAGCCTCACATAACATACAATAGACACCAGCCTCTCCTCAAAATAGACCAGCCGCTCTCAAAAGACCAGTCAGACCTATCGAGAATTCAATGCGACAGATATTCGTGCACTTCAGTACAACCTTGATGCTACTATCTACTTCAAAGAGAATTAGCAGTTAGCTGGCAATTGCTAAGCTAAGGTCGTAAGATTATGATCTCATCTGTAGCCCCTGACAAGTTGTAGAAGAGCAGAAAAAAAGATGTCATATATGAGCGCCTAAAAGCAAGTCATAAATACACATTTTTATGATGATTTGCCTGACTTAAAAACTATGTTGCCATTTTAATGTTTCTTCATGTGACGTTAATTTAAAGAATAAATTTTTAAAATAACAACATTTTTTTTTACATTTTGTCATTTAAGAAAACATTAAGTCATTGTTAATGTGATTAATGTGTTATGTCTTATTCATAATATATCTGACAATAAGGTTTATATTTTTACTTTTATCATTCTACAAACCCAGCACCCACCAGATTTAGTAAAATAAAGTGTTAGAATAGAAAGATGAAATAAATAAAGCATAACCTTCAACAGTTAACAAGGCTAGTGCTAAATACAGCCATAATGAATAAACAGGCTCAAGCGATAAAGCCATACTAAAACATCTCTATTAAAATTAAACTGACCCCATAAAGTAGAATAAACTCAAATAATAAATTAAAATATGAGCCCACAACTATAATCTAAATATTATGACGTGATCATTATAACTTAAAAACATCAACATAACTAAATCACGTTCATTAGACAAAACGAACGAAAGCGGCTGAGACCAAAATTCTCGGCTCAAAACAGCTAAGTCTGCGCGCGCACAGAAAGACGGTTTGCACCGAGAATTTTAGACCGAGCAAACCGACTATCTTTTAAAACCTGCTATAATTTTGTAAATATTAAAAAAACTCATTTAAAAACGCACCAGCATAGTCGGTAGAGAATTTCTTCGCACATATCATTTTAAAAAATGTGTATTAGTGCGGTCAATATAATGATCTAATCAATGAAATAATCAGTTTTTTGTCTCTCCTGTAAAATTAACATTTTAGGAGTTAGACGATTTGCGACCGAGACCATCGAATTTCTTAAGTTATTGAATGTTATATAACATTCAGTATTTACTTATGTTATTGAATGTTATATGGTATTCATTATTTGCTATGTCGGCCTATCTATTTAGCACCAGTCACTTGGCGGGGGGGGGGGGGGGGGGGGGGGGCTGAAAATCCTGGTACCTCACAAAACGTTTGTGTAATAGAAATTCAGGTTTGCTAATGGCATTAAATTTTACATAACATTCATTATTTGCTAATGGCATTAAATGTTACATAACATTCATTATTTGCTAATGGCATTAAATGTTACATAACATTCATTATTTGCTAATGACATTAAACGTTACATAACATTCAGTATTTGCCAATGTCGTACGTTCATTTATAAAATAAATTTATTGATTTTTAAATTTAAAATAAAAACTATTTTTTTCCTGAAAGCAACTGCGAAAAACGTTTCTGTGGATCCCGCAGACGACAAGCGGAATTCATCTGAAGAAAGTGAAATGGCGAATTTTTTCACGATGTACACGGAAACTCTTACCACTGAAATTCGGAGAAAGTCGAAAATTCCCGTGGGTTCGGGGATCGACTGATTTCCGTCTGTCCCCCGCTGATCCCTGACCCCTGACTCCTGACCCCTGACTCCTACCTTAGACCAAACAAGGACATGAGCACCACAAACCTGAGGAATATCGTCGCAAGTGAAGGCGATAGACACTCCATTTCTGCTGCGGTGATAGCTGATCAAGCAAAGCGAGCTTTCTGCAGGTTTTCTGCAAGTTTTCTGCAAGTTTTCTGCAAGTTTTCAAGACATTGTCAACACATTCGATATATATATATATATATTATATATATATATATATATATAATATATATATATATATATATATATATATATATATATATATATATATATATATATATATATATATATTTATTTTATTTATTTATATATATATATATATATATATATATGAATATGTATATATATAAATATATATATATATGTATATATATATATATGTATATATATATAGGTATATATTTGTAATTATATATATATTTATAAGTATATATATATATATATATATATATATATTGTTTGTTACGCCACATACGATGCATCTTGTAGATAATACATTGTAAATTAATTTGCTTTTGTTCAAATTACTCACATTTAAAATGTTTTTGTTAAACGATGTATAATCGAGTAAAAGAATATTTGACACTATAAAGTTTTGGTATTTACAAGCGTAACATAGTTTAACAATAAGTAGGTGTAGTGTAGCGAAATCGTGAAGGATGGTGTGCTGTAGCGACCAATTTTGCTCATGGTTCAAGTCAGAATTATGGATCCCTATCTGACATAGTATTTCGTGCTCTAGCGAAAGATTGCGCTCACACTTGAATTCAAAATTTCCGATAACGAGGTAGCGAAACCGTGAGACGCTTTTAAAAAAAAAAAAAAAAAAAAAACATTTCTAATGTTTTTTTTTTCTAGTGCCGGTATTGATTGTAGAAAAGTGAGAAAAACAGAGAAAAAATAGTACCACATTCGCCCTGCGGACTTCACCCAGTTGGTGTGCCCCCCCCCCTCCCTCTTCCTCCCCTCAGGGATAAAATGTGATGATGCTGACAACTCTACTTCACCTTGTTGCTGTACAATCGAGTGCTATTTTTCATCTGGACATTTTAACTCTTTAAATATAGGTAAATATATTTCCCGCGATAAAGTCCTAAAAACGCTTATATATTATGTATAAATATCTGCTACCTGCCTTAAATTGTACTCAAGTTATCGGTGTTTTAAAAGGCGAAAGTAGAGAAAAGTACCACTGTCGTATTTCGTCACAATAATTCACTTTTTTTTCAATCCGAAGTTGTGGTCTAATATTTACGTTTATTCACGCTACCTTAATTCAAGGGATCGGTTTTTTGAGAAACCGAAAGATGAGCGAATACTACATCCGGCTATCGAAAAGGGGCTCAAAAGTTAATAGACACGTGAACACAGGGGCGTAGCGAGGGGGGGGGGGGGGCGGGGGGTGCGGATCGCACCGGGTGACACCATTTAGGGGGGTGACACCAAGGCAAAAAATAGCAAAATATATGGAGAAAAAGTTGAGGGGGGGGGGGTGCAAATCGAAAGTTTGAGGGGGGTGCAAATTGAAAACTTGAGGGGGGGGTGCAAATCGAAAGTTTGAGGGGGGGGGGGTGCAAATCGAAAATTTGAAAGTTTGTCCCCGGGAAGGGTCGCTACGCCTCTGGGGGGGGGGGGGGGGGGGGGTGACACCATTAAGTGCCGCACCGGGTTACACCCGACCTCGCTACGCCATTGCGTGAACATGAGATTAAGTTCTTAACTATGAAATTTCTTTTATCTATTTGAAACGGTATTCAAATCAGCATGTTTTCTCTCTCTCTCTCTCTCTCTCTCTCACACACAAACTATACACACATCTATGTACATATAAATTTATATGTGTGTATATATATATATATATATATATATATATATATATATATATATATATATATATATATATATATATATATATATTCGTGGGGCACAAAATGAACCGTGCATCAACAACACCGTATTTAAAGAATGAAATCATAAATTGATCATTTTTACACGCAAAAGAAAGAACATTATTATCTCTGAACATTTACGGCAGTTCTGTGTGACTTCTGATGCTGTCTTTCAGACACTTGTAGTCCAGAAATACACGGCAAATCAGCAAAGGTTGTGATCTTGTATTTTACAGACCCTTGCAGCTTCATATGGTTCTCGAAGTTTCGCAGCCGCTGGTGCTATAAAGAAATCCAGTTATATTTCCTATCTCCATTTTCGAAATTATCTTTCACACAATGTTCCGCGCGCCGCGTGATATAATTAATAGTATGAAGGCATTCAAGGTTTTGATTTCGAATCCCGTCTTAACTTTTTTTTTATTAATACAAATGGGATTAATTTTTAGCGTATTATATTTTTTTAGGTAATGGATTAGGATTAGGGAAACGGTAAGAGTTAAATTTAGAGATGACCGAATTATCCCTTCATATGCTGAATATACAGAAACTTGACTAGCCCCATATACCGTTAGGTTTGTAGAGTGAGTTATACCATACATACCAATAACTTCAATAAACAATTCATAATTCAACGAACTGGAATAGGAGACTTCTCATAAAAGTTAGCTACATTATGTTTGGGTGTCACCCTTAGATTGTGTAAACATGTGCGGTCCGAAGCCACGCCCACACATTCTGAAGGTACTGCGACACAATGCCTGTTACTCAATATTAGCGGGAAACATGGTTTGTCAGCGGTTGATTTGGTTTCTCCACAACTGAGACCTTTGGAATTAATTATCTCCCATTAAAAAAATTAACTGATATGCAAAGGGGAACAATTAATATCTAAATGTTAAAAAAAATATAAAGTAAGAAAAAAAAACAAATACTTAAATTTGCAAGGATAAATTTTATACATTTTTTTACAAAAATAACAAACAATATTTATTTTTTATTTTAAAATGGATTTAATTATAGGTTTATAATATAATTTATTAAAATTAGATTTATTAAAAAACATATGCGCATTAACTTTTTGAACTAAAATCTAAATTATATACTAATTCCTATTGTTATAACAATATTTAACAATCTGTAAATAGGCAAATTTTGGATCCCTTTAAAACGGGACATCGTACAAAACAAAACAATAGGTTGTGTAAATAACTTAGGGCATGGATCGACAACCTGCGGCTCTATTGATGTCGAGTTGCGGGTCCTCAGCTCCATGCACAAATATTCATAATTATCTTAATTTTTTTTCAAAACTCATAATATTGTTCTGCAACACTCGGTAATGAACGATAAAATAAAATAAACATAAACAATAAACACTCGCTATTCTATTATTTCAATGTACTTCCTATTAACTTGCTATCCCAAATTGCAACATTCAACATCATGGTGGAGATCACAAAGAAACTAAACGAGTTAAACGTAAAACTGCATGGAAAGGAAAACCCAGCCTATGCCTTGCTTGAAGAAGATGATTGTTTCGAAAAAAAAATTAATTCATTTTGTTGAAGACCCGGATAGCGGTAAATTACTTTATTTCGAAAAATCTGAAAAAATATCATGATAAAACCAACGCTACTAGCTCTATTAACTTGAATCACTTCAGCATTACTATAAACAAAATGAAGGATGGGTTCATTAAGATATTTGAGCAATTGAAAAGAAATGCAAGTACTCTGACGGTCGTAGTCATAGTAGATTCTCTCAACAACAAAAAAATGAAATTAACTTCGAGCTATTTGGAATTGATGCTAGTTCGCTTCAAATTAAACGAAGTGTCTACTGGGAAGAAGATTTTTCTCCCCAACGTCTCCACTTAGTCGGCAAAAGATAGCTCTGCGCATGCGCAGTGACCTATGGCTAGGGTTAGGGCTAGAATATGGGTTAGGGGTAGGATTAGGGTTAGGGATAGGGTTAGGGATAGGATTAGGGCTAGGGTTAGGGTTAGGGATAGGATTAGGGATAGGGATAGGGTTAGGGATAGGATTAGGGTTGGTGTTAGGGTTCTGCGGTTGTAAACACACGCATGCGCAGTACTATCGAAAACATCGCCGCGAAGGCAAGTCGTAGTTTCTCTCCAATGCGCATGCGTATCGCATGCGTATCTTATTCCGGCTAGCATCGGCCCAAATTAAATTGCTAAATTTGAAAACCAAACATTTATGAAACCGTATGTTCACGGATCTCAAGAGCAAGTTAGATTATTTCGAGGTCCAGTAAAACATGCACGTTTCACTGTACAACTGGACAACTCTAAAAGAAATGACGCGAGTTGAGGCCCTACTATGTGACGCATGGAATAGTCTTGCAGGATGCTACAGTAAGGTGAAGAACTTGGCATTTGGAGTGCTGACGATCTTCGGGTCAACATATTCTTGCGAGCAAGCGTTTTATTGCATGAATAAAATAAACAGTAAAGTAAGAAGCCAACTAACAAACAAAAATCTAGAGGTGTGTTTGAAACCGAAAACAAACTTTCAAAAGGCATGCAAGGCGAAACTGTTGTAAAGTATTCAATAATTAAAGTTACATACTTTGATTACTGATTTTATTATTCTAGCAGAGCTAGATAAAATACTTTAATACTATTTCTGCAAAATATTGTGTATGTTTTTATTTGAATAAATATTATTACATATTTAAATATGTATATATATATATATATATATATATATATATATATATATATATATATATATATATATATATATATATATATATATATATACACATATATATATATATATTTATATACATATATATATATACACACACACATATATATATATATATATATATATATATATATATATATATATATATATATATATATATATATATATATATATATATATATATACATATATATATATATGTATATATATATATATATATATATATATATATACATATATATATATATATATATATATATACATATATATACATATATATATATATATATATATATATATATATATATATATATATATATATATATATATATATATATATATATATGTGTGTGTGTGTATGTGTGTGTGTGTGTGGGTTGGTACTGAATCTTATCTAGGTTTCCCACGGTCACTGAGCCTCCACAGCCATAAATTACGGCAGTCACTTTACCCGGTCGCACCAGAGTTCAGCTTGGCCGGACCCTATGTGTTGGCATGGGCCTGCTTCGGCATTCCAATTTAATAGCCCGTCCGGTACGATGGCGACTGTCTCCTTAATTTATGGGCGTCAGGCCACGACGTGAGTCAGCTCGGGTCAAGCAGGTGGGTGGATGGACGGAGCCTATAAAATAACGCTCGTACTTAGACTAGGCGGCTCACTCAAAATAGGACAACGGTTATCAACTTGAAAAATTCACTAGTTTAGACAATAAAATTTAATTTTGAAGAAAGGATCTGTTTTGTTTCAAGAATTTTGGATTTTCTTCCATATTCTGTGTCCAACAAAGAACAAACTAAAGTGCAGCAGTTGTTTGATTTTGTAGTTGTCTCTCCTAGAAGAGTGGACATCACATAGCTAACGAGCCTCATCTGCCCAAGTGTTGTATTTTTAATCAATGGCAGAATTATTTATTTTTTTTTACATTATTTTGCTTTATAACGATAACCCTTACAGACAAGATCTTCATTTTCGAAGAATATTAATGGAAAAAAAAATAAGTATGGATATTTTCTGATCCACATTTTTTAAAACCATCCTGTATGACGTCATTGTAAATTGTGTATGGCAATGCCGGAAATGAAGAAGAAAGAAGTAGACATATATTAATGAAATAAACAAAGCTTATGTCGACATATGAGATCCTAACATAATGTTGTGATAGTCGGTGGTCTGCGTGTTTTTTGTTGGTCTGTAGTGTAAGCAGATGTAAGTTGTCTCGTGGATTAGGCTTTTAGCGTAAGTCGACATAGGATTTCTAGTAATGGAGAATAAAAGCAGCTTAAAATATTGAATAGTTCCAACATCTAGATCTAGATTCTAGATTTATCTAGACTCCAGGAGTTTAAGTCTAGACTAGACTCATTTTAAAGTACAAATACAGAAAGTTGGCCTTTAAAAACTTTTAAACATAAAAGTTAACAATCACATATTTTTTTATCTTTTTCTCGTATTGTGTAGTCATTCGAAATGTGGTTTCCCGTGATTAAAAAAAACAACATAAAAAGCGTACAGTCTGAAGTCTAGACTCTAGACTCATGTGTTATATTATCATATATAAAAAGAACAGATACACTTAGGTACACAAAGTAGGAAACGTAATATTTCAGAAACCTACTGAGCATGATATTATATTAGATTTCATTTAAGCTAACTAATACAATTTGCTATTGACTAGAGGAAAGTATTAGCAAAAAATAATACGGAACAAAAAATCCTTTCGTATCAACAATAGGTGGGCTGCTGTCCCCAGCTAAGAAGCCCTATCAAGGCTTATATGCTCGGGACAGTAGCGTACGCAGGGGGGGAGCAGGGGAGCGGCCGCTCCCCCTCTGGCCATTTTCAGCAAAGTGGCGCCTTTTTGGAAACTTTTTAAACTCAGTTTTAAACAATGATTTTTTGTTAACAAGTTATTTTTAGTCGGCACATCTATGTAAATCACAAGATTTCTTTTCATGCAGCAATTAAGCAGAATTGTACTAGTCTAGTTAGTGTCTACGTTTACAACACGTATTAACAGCAGTATCAAGTTTGTCATTCTAAAATAACCATTACGATGCATTGCAATTAAAAAAAAAACCTCTACGGGTAGTACCACTTGGCAAGAGGGGTGTTAAGTTTAAGGCAACTGTATAATGTATTTGCTTAAGAATAATTGATCTAGAAAATATTATACATAAATCTTCACACATAATTACTTTATATATACAGTTTTAATCGTGTAATTAATTTAAAAAAATTACAATACAGACACAAATACAACTGATGTGGCACCTCTATTTAAATTTACTTATGGGCAAACTGCGTAGTGGTGGGGAAATTTTGACAAGGTCAACAACGTCATCACGATGAAGTAGTAGTATTATGACAGTTTGGGCGTAGTGATTACGATTACAAATTATATGAAACAGTTACAACCCCCCCCCCCCCCATGGATTCTCTGTAAAAAAAAGTTTTGTCACAATACCACTGCTACTTATTTAAATCTATTTCTGAATCAGTATATCTGTGTAATTGAATATGTATGTTTAGAACAGTCATCTAAAAACTGACGCTATGTTCACTCTGAGTTGGTTATCTCCCACCCACCCACCCCCACCCCCCACCCCCACCTCACCACCACAATTGTGTAGAGCGACATTAATGTCACACCTAGGTGTACACTGGGTTGGATAATTGACCTAAAGTGACCGGACAGTGGTGAATGAAGTTGAACCCCCCCCCCCCCACCCCCCAACCCAACCCGAACTGATCTGTTAAGTATATTTGGAAAACGCGTAACGATGTACCAAAGTACCGTGCCGCCAGAATCATAGCTTTTGGAACAGGTAAAACTCTGTGAATATTGTTTTTGCAAATACCAGTAAAAAGGTGTGTGATCAATACAGTTATCGAGCCCATACCTGATCACTATGTTAAAAAATGATCTTTTAAGAACACAAAAGCAGTAGTTAATGAAAAGATGTGTGATCTGAACGAAAGACCGATATTTAAGTTAAATGTATGCTATTATTCCGAATGCTTTTTTTTTTTACAAAAATTACAAAACAGATTGTGTTGCCTTTATTGTTTTTGGTTGTAGTGTATATATATATATATATATATATATATATATATATATATATATATATATATATATATATATATATATATATATATATATATTTGTTTAGATTAATACATTTTTTTGTATTGTCGGCCTACAATGTGTGTTTTTTCTTACTTCTACAAGTGCGTCTTACAATCTATTTTACATCATAGCGAAGTAATGACATACAGCTAGTAATTATAATGTATATATATATATATATATATATATATATATATATATATATATATATATATATATATATATATATTGTATATATATATATATATATATATATATATATATATATATATATATATATATATATATATATATATTATACACGTATATAGAACGTGTTCAAAATTCGGCGCCTTTTTTGCTCATTTCGCTCCCCCTACAACGAAAACCTGGATACGCCTCTGGCTTGGGAGTTTGAACTCGGGACTTTTCGGTTTAGCAACTATGAGTTTATCAACCCGACCACGCCGACACCTTGAATGCGTTATTTTTTTTTCCCAAATCTTTTAATAGTCAGAATGAAACGACTACGAGCGGGACGTTTATTATTAGGAGAGAAAAATAAAATCAAAACAACTGCTGCCTTGCAGTTTTTCTATGATGGACAAAGGCTATGGAGGCGAATCCAAAGAGATAAGCAGGCTGAAATTTGAGTCAATGGCCTATAAGGCACGTAACAAGTTGACAGATAATATTAATTAAAAGATGATGCAATTGAAAAAATATAATTTTAAAGTGAATGTAAAAAAGTAAAGTTCCCCTTTCAAACCTTTACGTAGGGCAGAAGAAGTAGAGTTCATAGATTTCTTAAACTCGGCATATGAAGGTGTGAACATATGACCAGCCGCATTTAGTTTTTTCCCCAAAGTGAGTCAGGTACCCATTAGAGCTGGTGGACTCGGGGACGTTCTGTAGCCCCTTTGTCGGAAACGATTTCCGAACCCGCGACGTTCGGTCTAGCAACCAAAGGCATACTTAAAAAAAAAATAAAACAACCTAGTGGATGATATTTTTGAAATCTGATATTTTTCTCATCGTCGTTGTAGTGTTAGAATGGGCGTGCTATATCAATACAGCACCAGCAGTTCGACGTCGGATGAGGTTGGTCATAACCGACACGACACGACCAATGTACTCATCTTACAGATTGGCTCCGCTTTGATCTCATCGTTTGGTATACCAGGTGAAAATTTGAACTCCGTACAGATTGTGTTGGGTTTTGTTTCTTCTTTTTTTTCAATGGCAGAAAACGGAAAAGAGGACATGTTCTATCCCACTATCTCTCTCAGTCTCTCCTTGTCTCTCCCTGTCTCTCTATCTCTCTCTGTCCCTGTTTCTCTGACTCTGTCTGACTTTGAGTCTCTCTGACTTTCTCTCTCTCTGTCTCTCTCTCTGTCTCTCTCTCTGTCTCTCTATGTCTCTCTCTCTCTGTCTCTATATGTCTCTCTCTATCTCTCCTTGTCTCTCATTCCCTGTCTCTCTCTGCCTCTGTATCTCCTCTAACTCTCTCTCTGTCTCTCTCTCTGTCTCTCTCTGTCCCTCTATGTCTCTCTCGCTGCCTCTCTATGTCTCTCTCTATCTCTCCTTGTCTCTCATTCCATGTCTCGCTTTGCCTCTGTATCTCCCTCTAACTCTCTCTGTCTCTCTCTCTGTCTCTCTATGTCTCTCTCTCTGCTTCTCTATGCCTCTCTCTGTCTCTCCTTGTCTCTCTCTTTCTGTCTTTCTCTGCCTCTCTGTATCTCCATCTCCATCTCATTCAGAGGCGTAGCGGGGGGGGGGGGGGGCATGCGGACCGCACCGGGTGACACCATTTAGGGGGGTGACACCAAGGCAAAAAATAGCAAAATATATAGAAAAAACCTTGAGGGGGGGGGGGTGCAAATCAAAAATTTGTCCCCCGGAAGGGTCGCTACGCCTCCGGGGGTGACACCATTAAGTGTCGCACCGGGTGACACCCGACCTCGCTACGCCACTGATCTCATTCTCTCTATCTCTCTGTGTGTATGTGTGTGTGTTTTAAAATACGAAATATAACGACGTTTATATTTCACCAGATATAAACTAATTAGATTTATCATTTCCTGGGAAATAAAAAATATATTGAAACGATATAAAATTGTCCAATATAGAACTTCGGATAAGTAATTACTATTTGAAACGGTGAATGAAATATGTAAAATAATATATAAAGAAAATAATTTAAAATTTCTAAAAAAAAATTGAAATCTGAAAGAAACAAAAATAATTTTGTTTGAAAACACAACAAAAAACACCTTCCCCTCCTACTACCCTCCCCCTACAAATCAAACGCATGCAATTTTTTTTTCGTATATGCTTAAAATAAATAGTTATCATTAAAGTTATTTGAGATTTTTTTTAATTTAAAAAAGTCCCCCCCCCCATTACATGGTTATTTTAAAATTAACAATCCCCCCCTTCATTACAGAATTATTTTAAAATTAACAACTCACCCCCCCCCCCCACTCATTACAAGATTATTTTAAAATTAATAACTTCCCACCCCCCCCCCCTAACCCCCGCCCTCCGAGTCCACCCAACTCTGATGGGTACCTAACTCACGTTAGGGAAAGTAAAGGCGGCTGGGCATAGTGCTGACCACACTATCTCTTCATATGCCGAGGTCACAGAAACAAGTGAACTCTAATTAATTTGCACCATAGACCGTCAGGTTTGAAAAGGGAATAAAAATAAATAAATAAACAACTCCCCCCCCCCCACCTCATTACAGTATCATTTTAAAATTAACAACCCCCCCCCCCACCCACTCATTACGGGATTATTTTAAAATTAACAGCCCCCCTCCCCCCTTCATTATAAGATTATTTTAAAATTAACAACCCCCCTCCCCCACTCATTACGGGATAATTTTAAAATTAACAACCCCCCCCCCGCCCCCATTACAGGATTATTTTAAAATTAACACCCCCCCCCCCCCTTATTACAGGTAACCTCCTCACCATTGTGGTACTCCAGCGCCCGTCCCTAAAAGACAACCACTTCACCGTGTACCTCATCAGCCTCTGTGTCTGCAACCTCCTCTCTCTGGTGGCGGGGGTGGCTCGCATGTCTTCGGTCCTGTGGACGGGGACGGATATCATCGCCTACCACCCCGGGGTCTGCCTGTAGGTTTGTGTATCGCTGTAAATTGTGTGGGATGGGGGTCGGGGGTATTCCTGTAGGTTTGTGTGTCCCTCTAAATAGAGACCGCGGGGAATGAGGATCGGCACACGAAATACTGTATCGTTATGACCTTTCTTTTTCAGCCTTCTATATATATGTATATATATATATGGGAGCCGGACGTTTTCCCGAAAGACACTTGCCCGAATGCCGTTTGCCCGAAGGCCGATTTCCCGAATGGACACTTGCCCGAATGCGACAAATGCCCGAATGGACACTTGCCCGAATGGACACTTGCCCGAATGCGACAAATGCCCGAATGGACACTTGCCCGAATGCGACAAATGCCCGAATGCCACTTGCCCGAATGCGACAAATGCCCGAATGCCACTTGCCCGAAGGCCGTTTGCCCGAAAAATGTTAATATTAGATAATAAATAATATTTCCAAATAGACATTCTTTAATCAATTTAAGTTTGAAATTTTGATTATAAACACAATTCTAAGCATAAAACAAAGTTGTTTATATTTTTAAATTTAGCTTTTTTTTCAAAACTGAGAAAGTGCAGTAAGAGAAATTTTATTCTTTAATAAATGTAAGGTGATGTTGGCGGCGGTGTTCTAACATTTTTTTGATGAAAGTTTTGAACACCTTGTTTAGCCGACGTGTTACGGTGGTTATATAGCTTTTATTACACGGCGTAGGCGGCGCGGGTCTCGCAACATTGAACAGAGGCGCGTTTGTTTGTTTATCTTGTTATGCTTAACTTGTGTGGTGATCATTTAACAAAAGAATGAGGCGAGGTCTAGGTGGCAAATTTAAAGACTAAACGTAGTCAAATATGTTTGATCTCCATTTAATGCACCTTGTTAAGACAATGTGTTGATGTACTTAATAAAGAAAGCAAAAACTCATTTTAAAATCCGGAGATGAATGAAAATTGTATTTTTGTCTAATTTCATATATGGAAGAGAAAGTATGTTTCTACACTTTTTAAATATCAAATACAAATTAATTTAAAATTATTAATATATAAATTATTAATATATAATATTATTTTTTTCACTTTCTTTTTGCGTAGATGTGTTTTGTTTACCAACATTTTAAATCTAAATTGATTACGAATGATTATTTAGTAATATATAATGTTAACATTTTTCGGGCAAACGGCCTTCGGGCAAGTGGCATTCGGGCATTTGTCGCATTCGGGCAAGTGTCCATTTGGCATTTGTCCCATTCGGGCAAGTGTCCATTCGGGCATTTGTCGCATTCGGGCAAGTGTCCATTCGGGCATTTGTCGCATTCGGGCAAGTGTCCATTCGGGCATTTGTCGCATTCAGGCAAGTGTCCATTCGGGAAATCGGCCTTCGGGCAAACGGCATTCGGGCAAGTGTCTTTCGGGAATTTGTCGTAGACCCATATATATATATATATATATATATATGTATATATATATATATATGAGTGTGTATGTGTGTATGCTTATTATTCTGGAATTCTTTCTATTTTGACCAGTATTTACCAATGGCTGACCTTTAGTCTAGCGAGTGTCGGAAGTTGGCTTTTAGTTTTCATTCACGGTCTGTCGGTTCTTCTATTTGATCAGTCGGTAAGTCAGTTCTACTTCTACTTGATAAGTCAGTTCTACTTTTACTTGATAAGTCAGCTCTACTTCTACTTGATAAATTGGTAAGTCAGTTCTACTTGTACTTGATAAGTCGGTAAGTCATTTCTACTTATACTTGATAAGTCAGTTCTACTTATACTTGATAAGTCAGTTCTACTTATACTTGATAAGTCAGTTCTACTTATACTTGATAAGTCAGTTCTACTTATACTTGATAAGTCAGTTCTACTTCTACTTGATAAGTCGATAGGTCAATTCTACTTCTACTTGATAAGTCGGTAAGTCAGTTCTACTTATACTTGATAAGTCGATGGGTCAATTCTTCTTCTACTTGATAAGTCGGTAAGTCAGTTCTACTTCTACTTGATCAATCGGTAAGTCAGTTCTACTTATACTTGATAAGTCAGTTCTACTTCTACTGGATAAGTCAGTTCTACTTCTACTTGATCAGTCGGTAAGTCAGTTCTACTTCTACTTGATAAGTCGGTAATTCAGTTCTACTTCTACTAGACATTAGTATTTGCTTCAACAACAACAGAGACTGTAATGTAAGAAACAAACGACCTAGGCAGTTCCCCCTACCTGGTACATTATCTAGACTTTTCTAACCCTAACTAGCATCCTCAAAGGTTATCTCTCTAGCCATAACTAAGCCCCTAAGCCAGAGGCGTAGCGACCCTTATCGGCGCCCGGGGACAAACTTTCGATTTGTACTGCCCCCCCCCCTCGAACTTTTCATTTGCACCCCCCTCTCAAACTTTCGATTTTCACCCCCCCCCCCCCCTCGAACTTTTCATTTGCACCCCCCCCCCCTCAAACCTTCGATTTCCAACCCCCCCCCCCCCTCGAACTTTTCATTTGCACCCCCTCCCTCAAACCTTCGATTTGCACACCCCTCGAACTTTTCATTTGCACCCCCCCACCCTCAAACTTTCTATTTTCACCCCCCCCCCCCCTCGAACTTTTCATTTGCAACCCCCCCACCCTCAAACTTTTGGCGTCCCCCGTAAGGTAGGCGCCCCGGTACATATGTCCCCTCCCTCGCTACGCCTCTGCCCTAAGCCCTAACCATTAACTTAGTTACCTCCTCCGCTCCAGAACCCGATGGATCCCGCTGTGCTTCGCGCCGTATCTGGTAGTGGCGAGCGTCTGCTGCATGTCCTTAGTGCTTGAAGTCCTGATCACCATAGCTGGGACGACGACATCAGATGGACAAGGGTTAGTGCAAATGGAAAAACTGACCAATTGTTACTAGGTTACAACAACAACAAAATTTTCACGTACCTACAAATATATATATATATATATATATATATATATATATATATATATATATATATATATATATATATATATATATATATATATATATATATATATATATATATATATATATATATATATATATATATATATATCCTTAATATCGTGACTTGGTAGTACAGAGTTTTGTTAATCCTTAATTTTATCACTTGTCTTTGGTAGCAGGGGCGTAGCGAGTGGGGGGGGGGGGGGGTGCGGACCGCGAGGGGGGGGGGGGGTGACACCAAGGCAAAAAATAGCAAAATATATAGAGAAAAACTTGAGGAGGAGGGTGCAAATCTAAAGTTTGAAGAGGGGTGCAAATCGAAAGCTTGAGGAGGGGGGGGGGGTGCAAATCGAGAGTTTCAGGGTGGGGGTGCAAATAAAAAATTTGAAAGTTTGTCCCCGGGAAGGGTCGCTACGCCTCTAGGTGGGGGGGGGGGGGGGGGGGTGACACCATTAAGTGCCGCACTACTGTTTGGTAGTGCAAATTTAATTAGAGTTTCCTTAATCCTTAATCTTTAATTTCTTCCTTTGTCTTTTGGTGAGTTTCTTTAATCCTTAATCCTTAATCTCGTCACTTGTCTTTTGGTAGTGCAGATTTGATGAGTTTCTTTAATCCTTAATCCTTAATCTCGTCACTTGTCTTTTGGTAGTGCAGATTTGGTGAGTTTCTTTAATCCTTAATCCTTAATCTCGTCACTTGTCTTTTGGTAGTGCAGATTTGATGAGTTTCTTTAATCCTTAATCCTTAATCTCGTCACTTGTCTTTTGGTAGTGCAGATTTGATGAGTTTCTTTAATCCTTAATCCTTAATCTCGTCACTTGTCTTTTGGTAGTGCAGATTTGCTCTCGAGTGCTTTGTGGACCCCGAGTCGGTGTGGGCCAACCTCCGGTTCCTCGTGTTGGCCTGGGCCCCGGCTGTGGCCATTGTGCTCACCAACATCTGCATGCTGATCACCCACATCCAGCAGAACTCTGGCATGGCGTCCAACAAGAGTACAGTCAAAGGTAACTGTAAGGTGTGCCAGAGGTCTAGCTAGAGTGCCAGAGGTCTAGCTAGAGTGACAGAGGTCCAGCTAGGGTGACAGAGGTCTAGCTAGAGTGCCAGAGGTCTAGCTAGAGTGCCAGAGGTCTAGCTAGAGTGTCAGAGGTCTAGCTAGGGTGACAGAGGTCTAGCTAGAGTGACAGAGGTCTAGCAGAGTGCCAGAGGTCTAGCTAGAGTGACAGGTCTAGCTAGAGTGACAGAGGTCCAGTTAGAGTGCCAGAGGTCTAGCTAGAGTGCCAGAGGTCTAGCTAGAGTGACAGAGGTCTAGCTAGAGTGCCAGAGGTCTAGCTAGAGTGCCAGAGGTCTAGCTAGAGTGACAGAGGTTTAGCTAGAGTGACAGAGGTCCAGCTAGGGTGACAGAGGTCTAGCTAGAGTGCCAGAGGTCTAGCTAGAGTGCCAGAGGTCTAGCTAGAGTGTCAGAGGTCTAGCTAGAGTGACAGAGGTTTAGCTAGAGTGCCAGAGGTCTAGCTAGAGTGTCAGAGGTCTAGCTAGGGTGACAGAGGTCTAGCTAGAGTGACAGAGGTCTAGCTAGAGTGCCAGAGGTCTAGCTAGAGTGCCAGAGGTCTAGCTAGAGTGTCAGAGGTCTAGCTAGGGTGACAGAGGTCTAGCTAGAGTGACAGAGGTCTAGCTAGAGTGACAGAGGTCTAGCTAGAGTGAAAGAGGTCTAGCTAGAGTGTCAGAGGTCTAGCTAGAGTGCCAGAGGTCTAGCTAGAGTGTCAGAGTTCTAGCTAGAGTGCCAGAGGTCTAGCTAGAGTGCTAGAGGTCTAGCTAGAGTGTCAGAGTTCTAGCTAGAGTGCCAGAGGTCTAGCTAGAGTGCCAGAGGTCTAGCTAGAGTGCCAGAGGTCTAGCTAGAGTGCCAGAGGTCTAGCTAGAGTGCCAGAGGTCTAGCTAGAGTGCCAGAGGTCTAGCTAGAGTGCCAGAGGTCTAGCTAGAGTGCCAGAGGTCTAGCTAGAGTGCCAGAGGTCTAGCTAGAGTGCCAGAGGTCTAGCTAGAGTGACAGAGGTCTAGCTAGAGCGCCAGAGGTCTAGCTAGAGTGCCAGAGGTCTAGCTAGAGTGACAGAGGTCTAGCTAGAGTGACAGAGGTCTAGCTAGAGTGCCAGAGGTCTAGTTAGAGTGACAGAGGTCTAGCTAGAGTGACAGAGGTCTAGTTAGAGTGACAGAGGTCTAGCTAGAGTGCTGGAAGTCTAGTTAGATTGCCAGAGGTCTAGCTAGAGTGCCAGAGGTCTAGCTAGAGTGCCAGAGGTCTAGCTAGAGTGCCAGAGGTCTAGCTAGAGTGACAGAGGTCTAGCAGAGTGACAGAGGTCTAGCTAGAGTGCCAGAGGTCTAGCTAGAGTGCCAGAGGTCTAGCTAGAGTGACAGAGGCTCAGCTAGAGTGACAGAGGTCTAGCTAGAGTGCCAGAGGTCTAGCTAGAGTGACAGAGGTCTAGCTAGAGTGACAGAGGTCTAGCTAGAGTGATAGAGGTCTAGCTAGAGTGCCAGAGGTCTAGCTAGAGTGCCAGAGGTCTAGCTAGAGTGACAGAGGTCTAGCTAGAGTGACAGAGGTCTAGCTAGAGTGACAGAGGTCTAGCTAGAGCGCCAGAGGTCTAGCTAGAGTGCCAGAGGTCTAGCTAGATTGCCAGAGGTCTAGCTAGAGTGCCAGAGGTCTAGCTAGAGTGCCAGAGGTCTAGCTAGAGTGCCAGAGGTCTAGCTAGAGTGCCAGAGGTCTAGCTAGAGTGCCAGAGGTCTAGCTAGAGTGCCAGAGGTCTAGCTAGAGTGACAGAGGACTAGCTAGAGTGCCAGAGGTCTAGCTAGAGTGCCAGAGGTCTAGCTAGAGAGGGGACATGATTTTATTCCCCACTCCCCGGTCAGTTACCCCCCGGAGATCCCCCACCCACATTACCCTGGAGTAATAACCCCCCCCTTGTCAATTACCCCTCTGTCAATTACAGGGATGGGAGGGGGGGGGCTAATGTCCTGGACCACGCTAGGAGAGGGCGGGTTGGATGAGAGCGGACCCTAGAGGATGCACCGAACTTCATAGGAAAATAAATGAAAAGCTCATTATGATCTGCATTTCTGATTTATACATTGTCGAATTTCTAATTTAAAATTTTAGTATTTTAATTTAATATTCTAACATTTATCAACTTAAAATTAAACCTATAAGTTATTTAAATTATCTTAATATATTATGTTCAATTTTTTTTTATCTTCAAAATTTGGTTTCAAACAATGTTTTTAGTTTTTCCAAAATTTATATCTTCTTTCGTGTAGGTAATAAATGTTCTACCCTTCGAATTTGTCAGGATTGTTTTAAGCGAGTGGTATATTAATTGGTTATTAAACAGTAAAAGTGTTTAGATTTGAAACCAAAATTTATAGGTGTAACTCAAATATTGTTTAATACATACTTTAAAAAACGTAAAGAATCCTCTTTAGACCTAGCGATACTTTGGTGAGATGAAGTAGAGTTTATATGTTTCCCTCGACATACGAAGGGAAGGTGTGGTCAGCACTTTGCCCAGCCGCCTTTATTTTCCTTTTTATGAGTTACCCATCAGAACTGGGTGGATTCTACGTTCTATTGACTTGGACCCGGATTCGAACTCAAACATTCAGGTTAGCAGCCTAGCGCTCTATTGCCTAGGCCACGCTGTCAATTTACACACGTAGCAAACTCGTAACTAGAATGCCTGTAACTCACGTGAACCATAACCGCTCACCCGAATGTCACCTCACTGACTCACACAAAAGCGTGACCTCTTGTGTTTGACCCCCCAGTCCGCCACCAGCTGACGCTACTGGTCTTCCTGGCATGCGCACACTTCATCCTCACCGTGTTTCCGGTCAGCTTCCACTACTTCATCCTCAACAGAAGTCTCCAGACAGATACACCACCGGCACAAACAGAGGGACACTATGGTTCGTCTAGTTCATCATTTGTATCTTTGATTCGTCTGCTCTTTTAGTCCTTCCTAATGCTTGGTGTAGAATGCGTAAATTTTTGTGCTCGTACAAAAATTTATCATTTGGCTTGTAATTTGTTGTTGTCATTCTTAATGCTAGCTGTAAAGTTCGTCTTTTTATTCGTATTTTGTTATTGTCCTTCGTAAAGCGCGTCTTAAAGTTGGTCCTTTGCTTTGTATTTTCTTGAGGTCCATAGTAATGCCCGTCCTAAACTTTGTCATTTGCCTCGTTTTTTCTTGACGTTCCTCTTATTCTCGTCCTAAAGCTAGTTCTTTGATTGGTTATTAAATCAACGAGCAGATAACTACTAATTCGTTTGTGTCGTGTTTTTATTTTTTTAGTAGATTTATGATAATTTAATTTTGTTTGTAAATCAAATAATATTGTTAATTAAATATTTTCTGATACATTTATGATATTCTCACACCAAAGTGTGAGAAAACTAAAGACTATATATATATATATATATATATATATATATATATATATATATATAAATGTATATCTATAATAAATAAATATATATATATATATATATATATATATATATATATATATATATATATATATATATATATATATATATATATATATATATATATATACATGCAACATCTTCAAACACCCCAGGCTACTACATCATGATCCTGTTGTTCCACACCAACCACGCCACCAATTTTCTCGTCTACTGCTACTTCGGCAAAAGATTCCGACACGAGTTCATCACCCTGATCAAGACGGGCGTGAAGCAGATCCTCAGGAAAGCAGACGATACCAGTCTCTCATCGACCTCCTCTCCGATGGAGAATGTACCAGGTAGGGGAACTGCCTCGGTCGCAGAGACGTAGCGAGGGGTGTGGACCGCACCGGGTGACACCATTTAGGGGGGTGACACCAAGGAAAAAAATAGCAAAATACATATAGAAAAATGATAATTCCGCTTAATTAAGTGAATTATTCGAGTGTTAAATAGTGTTTTAAGAGGTACAAATCGAAAGTTTGGGGGGGAGGGTGCAAATCGAAAATTGAATATTTGTCCCCGGGAAGGGTCACTACGCCTCAGGGGGGTGACACCATTAAGTGCCGCACCGGGTGAAACCCGACCTCGCTACGCCACTGCTCGGTCGGTCTTTTCTTACACTGCAGTCTCAGTTTGTTGTTGTTGATGCTGATGACTTGCTTGACTTAATATTCTGTAGTCCCTGGGGAGCAAAAGGTTGTAATTACACCTCTCCACTAGACTCGGTTTTGGGCTGATCCCCTTATCTGTGCCCACGTGAGCCTAGCGGTTTTTTTCCTCTTCCACTACCGTTCTTCTCCGTTTTGTTTTTGGCCGGCCCATTTTCTTTCTTTCACTGTGTTTACATTCCATAGCTTTCTTTCCTTTTCATGGTATAAGTCCAATCCATCCACATCTAAGGGCTTTAAAATCCTTAACCATTGACTGTTGTTTTGTGGTTACCACAGATCTTTATTTGATATTTTTCTTGCCATCTTACTGATATCAGTGGCGTAGACAGGGTGGGGGGGTTGGGGGGGGGGGTCATAACCCCCCCTATAGACCCCTCGGTATATATATAAAGTATGAGGGGGGGTGCAAATCGAAAGTTGGGGGGGGGGGGGGGGGTTCAAATCGAAAGTTTGTCCCCGGGTAAAAATTGGACCCCCCCCCCTTGAGACGATCCTGGCTACGCCACTGCCTGATATAATTGCATTATTATTATAAATTGTATTTATAATATTATTTCTTTTTCTATTAATATTATAATAATTATTACAATTATTATTATTATTATAATTATTATAATTTTAATTATTATTATTGATATTATTATTGATATTATTATTGATATTATTATTATTATTATTATTGATATTATTATGTGTATTATTTGCATAATTTTTATTTTCTAATATTCCTATTATTCTATCATTTGTATTCTGTCTATTCTTCCTATTATTTCTATTATTACTAAGATTGCCATTATTATTTTTTTTTTCATTTTTCGGATAGTTTTTTGGGATATCACAATTTAAAGTTCTTTTTAAATAACGGAGTGGGTTATGGGGGGGGGGGGCCGCATACAAGTTTTTTTTTATAATTAACTGTAATAATTTCGAATTTTTACAAATGGATTGGATTTTTATAGTCAAATATTTGCTGAATAATATGTGCTTTTGGATTTTCATATTTGATCGTTAAGTCTCACTTTTTTTTGTGTATTATATGTTGCCTTGGTGGAGTTCCCTTTCAAACCTGACGGTCTATAGGGCAGGTGAAGTAGAGTTCACCTGTTTCTGTGACCTCGGCATATGCAGGGATAGTGTGGTCAGCACTATGCCCAGCAGCTTTTACTTACCCTAACGTGAGTTTGGTACCCATCAGAGCTGGGCGGACTCAGGGACGGTCTACTGACGTGTACCCGGATTCAAACTCGAGACTTACGGGTTAGCAGTCCAGCTCTCTACCGCTAAGCCACACCGTCCCATGTCGCCATGGTAACTCAAAAAAAACACGACTCACATTATTCTGATAACGATTCCTTATTCTCTTTCTAGTGGAGGTGAAGGAGATGCTCAACTTCTACAACGAGCGAGTCACACAGGAACACAAGGCGCACGCCAAGGAATACATTGCAACACTCTACCACGAGATGGTGAAGATGAACGCGGAGAGGGGGGCTAGCCTCGTCACCACCGACTCCACACCGCCCATCAAGTCCCAGAACGGAGAAAAACTCCAGCCCCCGCGCGGGTCGAAGAACGGCCAGGGTACCAGCATTGGACCTTCCGTCGCCGCGACAGAAGCGGCCGAGGAAAATGTTGCGAAAAAGGATTCCAAAACGAAAGAAGTAAGCGTGGTGGAAGCACCGGATGGAACGTGATGTGAAGGGGGAGGTCAAGGTTGCGACGGAAAGTTCAAAGGTTAAGGAGTACAGTGCGTTGTTTCAACAAGCATTCGTCCTTGACATGGCGACATTCAGATGACAAGGGGCGAAAGGGCAACACCCTAATGACATGATGTTCATATGGAATCAGTTAAATACTTAATGACATTCATCATGAATGACAAGATCTTTAAGCGTAGTGGTGACTAACAATCTCCAAATGACAAAAACACACGGAATTTTAAATTTGCCATAGACACAACCATTTAACAAATGTCATTTATACTAAGCCGATCTCAAAGTGACAATGACATTTAGCCTATGCCTATGGTCGCTTTGCATTTCTCTACATGATATGAACCCAGTATTCTCCAAATGACGCTAACATTTAGCCGATGCCCAAATGACATGTCCACTTAGCATTTTTTTTTCTCCACATGATTTGAACCTAGTCATTCTTTAAATGACAGTCAAGATGTCAATTTTGTGTATTGACGTCTCAACAAACATGGATTTTCTTTTGATTAATGCAAAAAATAATTACTTGTAGACTGTTTAGAACTTTTTATGTATTTTACATTCGCAAATTTATTTATACTTTCTGTTATATTTTAGTTCCATGTATAGTTGTTACAATACAGAGACACTTATGAACTACGCGTTTTTTTTTTACATTTATTTGTGGTAAAATATACATATGAGATGAACATATGCTATCTAGTTATTGTTGAGCTCTAATTATAGTATTAGCTTTAGATAAGATAGGTTTTAGGTGTCATTCAAAAATGTCTTCACGCTATTTTGACAATGTTTACGTACTTACCTCCCCTTACTATTGAAACACATAGTAACACAAAGTCAGGTTTTATCTACCCTTACTATACACACATAGTAACAAAAGTCCGGTTTTATCTCAGCTTACAATCTATACAAATAGCGCTTTTTTTTTTGTTTTAACATCGATTTCTTTCCAAATTACCTTGTGCGCTCGGTCAAGATTGAGTATATTAATTATTTTTTTTATTTTACAATTTTACAAAACCAGCCTCTTACAACGCGAAATATCGGCTAAAACTGAGTTTCAAACTTTACTTTTTAAAATGATAATTTGAGACGTGACTTATTGAAACCCCTTCCACATCCTTGACCCACTCATTTCCCCCTTACCCTTGATAGGCCATAGCGTCCCTTCAGAGGTGTAGCGAGGGGGTGGGCGGGGGTGCGGACCGCACCGGGTGACACCATTTAGGGGGGTGACACCAAGGCAAAAAATAGCAAAATGTATAGAGAAAAATGATAATTCCACTTTATTAAGTGATTAATTCGAGTGTTAAATTGTGTTTTAAGAGGTGCAAATCGTAAGTTTGAGGGGGGTGCAAATTGAAAGTTTGAGGGGGGGGGGGAGGGGTGCAAATCGAAAATTTGAAAGTTTGTCCCCGGGAAGGGTCCCTAAGCCTCTGGGGGGTGACACCATTAAGTGCCGCACCGGGTGACACCCGACCTCGCTACACCACTGCGTCCCTTATACACAACTACTTAAGCCAATCAAAAAAGGAAAGTTCTCGAACATTTTGGTCCGTGGGGCAAGTGAAGTAGAGTTCATCTGTGACCTCGTCGTATGAATAGTGTGGTCAGTGCTAAGCCCAGCCGACTGTATTTTAAAAAAACGTGAGTTAGGTACCCATTAGAGCTGGGAGGACACCGGGACGTTCTACTCATTTGAACCCGGATTCGAACTAGAGACTTTCAGATCGGTTAAAGGTTATTAAGTTCAGGGCTTGGTCTCAGGATTAAAGTTTTAAACTACATCTTGGGTTTGTGTTTCGATTTCGGTTAAAGGTAGTTTTAGGTTGCTAGAAAAACAAATATTCTCTGAACAATGTGCGTAGGCCTACTTTCTCAAGTACAATATCTTTTTTGAAGACTAAAGTGCGATGATTTATACCTTTAAGATTGATGCGTTTTTAATTTTATTTTAAATTAAACCTGGAAAATTCAATCGCTCGAAACTAAATTTATATTTTCTGTCTTTGTTGATTAATTTAAAGCACACTTAGTATAGTTCTACTCAAACATAAACATAAAATGTTTTTTTTTAATTCCTTAAACAATGACGACATTGATATGTGCGCAGTTTTGTGGAAAAAATACCTTTCCATTTCCTGTTTCATCTTTTTAACATAGAAATTAAAAAAAGCTACGAAGATTTGTACACACTTGATCTACTACTTTACTAAATCAAGATGTCTTGACAGGAATCAGTTTTATTAACAAGATAAACTTATCTAATATTCCTACTCCACTAATCAGATAAACTTTACTTTACACTCGATTCTATTTGAACTTTGTGTTGAGTAATCGCGATAGCATTAAAATCGTAATTGAATGGTATGTGTGGTACCAATGGTGTGAGGGTCGAAGAGATAGTCGAATATGCCAGAGACTGACTTGGAAGGGTACAGGTGGACTCATCTCACGAACACGAGCGACCCAGAAGACAGCCCAGAAGAGTTACAGAGGTTGCAGAACATTTATGTCACGATTTTATTCGTCGGCGCCATTGTGTTATTTATTATCGGGGTACCAGGTATCGTGTTCTAAAACATTTTTTTTTCGCAAATTATCTTTTATTTTTTAAATTAAATTTTTTATCTAATGAGTGTTGTAAATTTAAAACAAAATTAAAGTGCCGTTTTGAATCTGACAGCCCATTAGGCCAGGTGAAGTAGAGTTCAGCTGTTTCAGTGACCTTAGAATTAAGTTGGAATAGTGCGATCAGCGCTCGCCTCGTCCGCTTTTACTTTTACTAACTTAGTCAGGTACCTAATAAAGCTGAGTGGTCTTAGGGACATCTTACGGAGTCGAGCCCGAACTCAAGACTTTCGGGTTAGTAGTTCTACCGTCTGACCAGGCCGCCTCGTAATGCCTTGCGTCACGCAAGTTGCGTCTATTACAATCATTAGGATCAGGGGCGTAGCGAAGGAGGGTGCGGACCGCACCGGGTGACACCATTTAGGGGGGTGACACCAAGGCAAAAAATAGCAAAATACATAGAGAAAAAACTTGAGGGGGGGGTGCAAATCGAAAACTTGAGGGGGGGGGGTTGCGAATTGAAAGTTTGAGGGGGGGGGGTGCAAATAAAAAATTTGAAAGTTTGTCCCCGGGAAGGGTTGCTACGCCTCTGGGGGGTGACACCATTAAGTGCCGCACCGGGTGACACCCGACCTCGCCACGCCACTGATTAGGACTTAGTTGAATACATTTTTATAAGCGTTTACATTTGTCAGCTTTTGTTTGTTGGTGTGTTTTCGGCAAATCTTGTAACTCAATTATGACCCTCTTCTAATGAAGTGATTTTATTCAAACTTTCCATATAACTTATACTTCGATAACACTGCAAGAATATATAATTTTTAGATTAGTTAGAGAGACAATGCAACAGTAATCCTGGTTCTAGCAATAGCGTTGACGACAATCTTGAGTTTTGTATTAACATGTTCCTGACTTGAATTAATGTTATTCAAAATCACAGACCTATATTTCATTAATTATATATATATATATATATATATATATATATATATATATATATATATATATATATATATATATATATATATATATATATATATATATATATATAAACTAGCGTAAGTATATAACTCTAGCAATATTCGCATATTTATATCACTCTAGCAATGTTACCATGTATATATAAAAGTATCACTATGAAAAGTCTTTTGGTACATCTTCCTATAGGTCAGTGTTGTAGTGTTGGTTGGTCGTAACTAAACCATCTATATATATAATTCTCCTCTTCGAGCCGTTAGAAAACAAGCTGCAAACGCTCTCCCTACCTCCCCACCCCTACATGGTTTTAGTGAGCTGTGTTCACTCTAAATGTTTACAAGCAGAGCCAACGATTTTAAACGTAGGGTGGGGGGGGGGAAGGAAGGGGGGGAAGGAAGGGGGGGGGGGGGGGGGTTATGGTCCTTAACGAGCTACTTATAGTGTTTTAAAGAAATATTTTCAGTGTCAGCGTTGGTACTGTCGAATTCACAAATTATGAATTATTGAAAATTAGAAACAACTAAATAGCGGCGTATGTTATGCCGCGGGCCGGCTCGTTTTAATAATTGCTGATACTCCGCTCTTTTTTTTTAATAAACCAAAAAGAGCTCTCTATTCCAAAAATGAACACAACGTTTAGCGTTACTGTTAGCCTCAACATTGTATATGGTTTTTCTATAATGCCTGATTGTCACAAACTTTTTTATGACTGGGTTCATGGCACAAACTAAAGTCAAATACAAACCACATTATTGGTGATTTTACAGTCTTTTATTGATATCAGATAATATAGCAGCTACACTACTAGAACCACGACTTTCAGTTTCGTCATCTCCTCGCGCTCTATCTACCTCTCTCTGCTTCCTTTCCTTAGCGCATGCGCACACCCATCCTATATTTTATATTCATATCGCCTTTTTAAGATACACACTCGAAACATACATTCATCTACATTTAACTGTTACACTAATATTTAAAGATAATGCATGATCTCTTGATTAACAAACCTAATGAGCTCGTGACTTTAAAACTAAAACAAACCTTATTACCTCATGACCTCTTAACTAAAAATTCACATGACCTAAAAAAACAAAAAACGAGACATGATAACCTTATATCTTCTCCAAGAGCCTGGTCTAAACTTCTTTCACAGGCAACGTCCTGACCTTGGTAGTGTTGAGTAAGAACGTCATCAAGGACGTTGTGTTGAGTCAGTACCTGAGCTTCATGTGTGTCCACAACATCCTGTCTCTCCTGGTCTGCACGTGCAGGCACCTGATCAAGGCCAACACGGGATCAGACTTGGTCTTTCAGAACTTTTACTTCTGTTGGTGAGAGTTCTCTTGTGTTCGCAGCTAGCTCGTATCTTGTAAGCATAGTTTGAGTGTTCGATGGATGAGCTACTTTCGTTTTCTGTGTGTTAGAGTGAATATAAGTTCAAGTGCTCGATGGGTGAGCTACTTTCGACAGACAGACAGACAGACAGACAGACAGACAGACAGACAGACAGACAGACAGACAGACAGACAGACAGACAGACAGACAGACAGACAGACAGACAGACAGACAGACAGACAGACAGACAGACAGACAGACAGACAGACAGACAGACAGACAGACAGACAGACAGACAGACAGACAGACAGACAGACAGACAGACAGACAGACAGACAGACAGACAGACAGACAGACACACAGACAGACAGACAGACCGGCAGGCAGGCAGGCAGGCAGACAGACAGACAGACAGACAGACACACAGAAAAGGAGAAACACAGACAGGTAGACAGACAGAGAGGAAGACAGGGAGAAAAAGTGAGACAGAGAGGTATAGGGTGCTAGAGAGATAGAGATATATGTATATAGATATTATTTTAATACTCACACGTTTGTAAAAGGGTTGGTCCAAAATGAGAGAAAACCTCACTACTTAACCACGGTGCAAAATTTACTTTCACCCAAAACCTTTATATTTTAATCACATATTTTTCTCTCTATTTTCCTCAGGGTTATGAAGTGGATGGTTACTAGTCTACACAGTGTGACGGGCTGGAACCCTGTGTTTCTTACTTTGTGTCGTCTGCTGTTTCTGGTTAACAGGTAAACTTTTAGGTAGATACGATTCGATAACATGGGAAATAACTCATCTAGAAAACACCATAAATCAAAAAGCTACTGCCTTGGGTAGATAAGATTCGATAACATTGGAAACAATTCATCTAGAAAACTCCAAACTCAAACAGCTACGGCCTTGGGTAGATAAAATTCGATAGCATGAGAAACAACTCATCTAGAAAAGACCAAAATAAACATAAAAAACTACTGCCTTATGTAGATAAGATTCGTTAGCATAGGGAAAACGCATCTAAAAAAAACTCCAAAATCAAACAACTACTGCCTGCAATTTTTTATAATCAAATACATAACATCATGTAAATATTCATTATGTACATTTGCAAAACCTGTCGTTTTCATTTGGTGTTCAAAATTATGTTAAAAAAATGTTGATGTACTTGTTTTAATTGCAAATAACAGTAAAAAAATAAAAATAAAGAAAAAAAAAAAAATGAACAAATGCTTTTTTTAATTGAACTAATGCTATGAAAGAAAATACAGAAAGAAAACCAGGCTGATGTCACAAGTGTTCCTATATATGGCCACTGGTGCTGCCACAAATGAAGGTCGATTAGTTCACCAATATATGTTTTTTATCATCATTGTTTAAATATATAATTAGAATGCTGAGCTGCAATAAAGCTAGGGCCTAACTGGCTAACTCGCGATTGGTTGGAGGCAACTGTTTGATTGGAATCTCGCTTTGATCTCCAGGACAAGGAGGTGCTACACCTGTCTGCATCCCTACCTAGTGGTCGTCTGCTACTCGGTGCCATTGTTCCTCATACAGGCAGTCAGTCTCACAAACGCCTTGTCCAGGACAGACCTAGCAGGGTAAGGCATTTTAAGACAATATTATTAGGGGATGACCCAGAAGGGTAAGTCAACATTATGATGGGATGACTGGGACATTTCCAACAGGATAAGTCAACGTTATGAGGGAATGAGTGGGACATTCCCAGTTAGGTAAGTATACATTATGAGGGAATGAGTGGGACATTCCCAGTTAGGTAAGTATACATTATGAGGGAATGAGTGGGACATTCCCAGTTAGGTAAGTCAACATTATGAGGGAATGAGTGGGACATTCCCAGAAGGGTAAGTTAACACTATGGGGGAATGAGTGCAGTGTTTCTTCCAGACTTTTTTCTCCGGGGGGGGGCACTTGAAATTTTCGGGGGGGGGGCGGTAAACTTTCTTCGGGGGGGGGGGAGGGGCGGACACTGTTAAAAGTATATATTTTCTATATAAATTATATAAATTTCATTTCGTTCGGGGGGGGGGCGGTAAAAAATTTCGGGGGGGGGGGGGGGGGCTTAGCCCCCCCCCCCCCCCCTCCCCCGAAGAGATGCCTGGAAGAAACTCTGAATGAGTGGGACATTTCCAGAAGGGTAAGTTAACACTATGGGGGAATGAGTGCGACATTCTAAGCATGGTGTGTCAACACCACTATTTGGGAATGAGTGGCTCACTGAAAAATTCTAGAACATGGACAGGTTGATAGAATAAAAAATTATAATGCTTTATAACTTAAGTTGTCATTTCTCAGAGAAAAATAACCTTTGTCTTGCTGATTGGGGGAGGGTTTGGTATTGCCCGGAAGCAATAGACTCTTAATCAACATTGAAGATCAAATCTCACTTATTGTTTTTCTAACGCTGACACTTCAAGCAATCCAGTCGTCTGTTACTTGCCTCACAAGAGTATCTGGGTTGTTACCATGGCGATGGTGTACGGCATCATCCCAACCGTCTACCTGATCGTCTGCAACTTTTGTCTGGTCTACCTGTACCACAGGACCAAGTCTGGTCTGCTCCCGTCAAGTAAATCTTTGAAAAGTAGGTTTCTTGAATCTTAAAGAAAGTTTTTTTTTTAAATCTTTGAAAAGTAGGTTTCTTGAATCTTAAAGATTTTAAAGATCTTTGAAAAGTAGGTTTCTTAAATCGTAAAGAACGTTTTTTTTTAAATCTTTGAAAAGTAGGTTTCTTGAATCTTAAGATTTTAAAGATCTTTGAAAAGTAGGTTTCTTGAATCTTAAAGATTTTAAAGATCTTTGAAAAGTAGGTTTCTTGAATCTTAAAATTTTAAAGATCTTTGAAAAGTAGGTTTCTTAAATCGTAAAGAAAGTTTTTTTTAAATCTTTAAAAAGTAGGTTTCTTGAATCTTAAGATTTTTAAAGATCTTTGAAAAGTAGGTTTCTTGAATCTTAAGATTTTAAAGATCTTTGAAAAGTAGGTTTCTTGTATCTTAACATTTTAAAGATCTTTGAAAAGTAGGTTTCTTGAATCTTAAAATTTTAAAGATCTTTGAAAAGTAGGTTTCTTGAATCTTAAAATTTTAAAGATCTTTGAAAAGTAGGTTTCTTGAATCTTAAAGATTTTAAAGATCTTTGAAAAGTAGGTTTCTTGAATCTTAAAATTTTAAAGATCTTTGAAAAGTAGGTTTCTTAAATCGTAAAGAAAGTTTTTTTTTAAATCTTTAAAAAGTAGGTTTCTTGAATCTTAAGATTTTTAAAGATCTTTGAAAAGTAGGTTTCTTGAATCTTAAGATTTTAAAGATCTTTGAAAAGTAGGTTTCTTGTATCTTAACATTTTAAAGATCTTCGAAAAGAATGTTTCTTGAATCTTAACATTTTAAAGATCTTTGAAAAGTAGGTTTCTTGAATCTTAACATTTTAAAGATCTTTGAAAAGTAGGTTTCTTGAATCTTAAAGATTTTAAAGATTTTTGAAAAGTAGGTTTCTTGAATCTTAAAATTTTAAAGATCTTTGAAAAGTAGGTTTCTTGAATCTTAAAATTTTAAAGATCTTTGAAAAGAATGTTTCTTGAATCTTAAGATTTTAAAGATCTTTGAAAAGTAGGTTTCTTGAATCTTAAATTTTTAAAGATCTTTGAAAAAAAAAGGTTTCTCGAATCTTAACATTTTAAAGATCTTTGAAAAGTAGGTTTCTTGAATCTTAAAATTTTAATTATCTTTCAAAAAATGTTTCTCGAATCTTAAAATTTTAAAGATTTTTGGAAAGTGGGTTTCTTGAATCTTATGATTTTTAAAGATCTTTGAAAAGAAGGTTTCTTAAATCGTAAAGACAGAGTTTTCAAAATCTTTGAAAAGTAGGTTTCTTGAATCGTAAAGACAAGTTTTTAAAATCTTTGAAAAGTAGGTTTCTTGAATCGTAAAAACAAGTTTTTTTTTAAATCTTTAAAAAGTAGGTTTCTTGAATCGTAAAGATAAGCTTTTTTTAAATGTTTGAAAAGTAGGTTTCTTAAAATCTTAAAAGAAAGATTTTTTTAAATCTTTGAAAAATAGATTTCTTTTAGATTTTTTTTTCTAAGAAAGATTTTTTTAATCATAGAAAAGTAGGTTTGTTAAATCTTAAACAAATAGTTTTTTTAACCTTTGAAAAGTACTTTTCTTGACTCTTAAAAAAATAGTTTTTTTTTTAATCTTTGAAAAGTAGATTTCCAATTTTAAAGAATAATTTTTTAATCATTGATTACTTGATTCCTTAAGAAAGTTTTTTTTTTCAAATCTTTTAAAAGTATTTTTCTTGAATCTTAAGAAATTGTTTTTTAATCTTTTAAAATCTGGGTTCCTTTAGTCTTAAGGAATTTTTTTCTTTTTTTTTCAAAAATAGGTTTTGTCAATGTTTGAAAAGTAGTTTTTGTTTTTAATCTTTGAAAAGATTTTTTAATTGATAAGAAGTAGGATTTAATAGAGTAGAAAAGTAGGTTTATCTATATTTTAATAAAAAAAAATATTTTTAAGAGTAGGTTATTTTTTGAGATATAAAAAAATAGAAAGTTATAATAAGAAAGTTTTTTTTTTTACTTTTTTATTTTCATAAAAAAAAAATCTTAACAACTGCGAATGTTTTCTAAAATCTTTCAGATGTAGGCTACCATTTTTAACTTTTCTTACAATCTTTAAAATTAGTTCTTACAAAATCTTAAGGTATTTTTTTAAAATTAATTCTTTTCAAACAATTTTGAAATATTTTTTTTATGTTTGAAAAAAAATTTCATACTTTAAATATTTGAAGAAAAAATGAGATGATATCTTGAAAAGCGTGTTTTGTTTTCTTAAATGATGTTGATTGCAATCAAAACTAAAACTCGACCATCGCATATGTGTTCCCCCCCCCCCTCCCTCTCCTGCCCTGTCCAGTCAAGAAACAGATCCTAGTGATCATGTTGTCCTCTAACTTTGGTGCCGTGTTCACGTTGCTCCCAGCGGCCATCTTCCACACCACGGCGCCATATGTCCTGGAGTACCGGAGAAAGTCGGAGGTTATGAAACTACAAATTGGTGAGTACATTTCGTTTAAAAATAAACGTGTGAGTGTATGTGATTTTAAAAATAAACTTGTGAGTGCATGTGATTTTAAATATAAGCCTGTGATTGCATGTGATTTTAAAAATATACTTGTGATTACTACTTATGTTAATAAACCGGGAGTGTTCTCCCCTAAACTTTCTCGAATATTCTTATATAACACTGCGGGGGATGGCAACTCGGGACATAGACAATATCCCGGTTTATTTGCTTTTTTCTTTACTAGCTCAACATCTAAGGACCACAGGGGATAAACCACAGTTGTCACAGTTTTCTACTTTTAAGAGATTTTGTGTTTGAGATCCGTTACTGTTCTATTGTGGCATGATTTTAAAACCCAAAATATTGAGGGGATCGAGATGGTTTTACGCTTTCATATTTTTATTCGTGATATATAAATATATACACCAGTACTATATGAATATGACACCAACTCAAAAATCTAAAAAATTGGACATGTGTGGTTTATCGCGTGTGCTTTTCCTCTGTTTCCATCCAGTAGACGTGTGTGGTTTATCCAGTGTGGTTTTCATCTGTTTCCATCCAGTAGACGTGTGTGGTTTATCCAGTGTGGTTTTCACCTTTTTCCCTGCAGTGTTCCAGATAACGGTGTTCCTGATCTACGCCAACAATGCCAGCAACTTCCTCATCTACTGCTGCTTCAGCCAGAGGTTCCGCAAGAAGACGGTCAACATCCTCAAGTATCTGGCCACCGTCTTCCGTCGGGAGCAGACGACAGACGAGCGCTCGCCCTCCGATATGACGTCATCGCAGTTTTTTAAAGGTAAACCCGGTGTTGGGGTAAAATGTGGACGTAATGTTTTTGGACGTGATATTTTTGGACGTGATCCTTTTCGACGTGATAGTTTTGGACGTGATCCTTTTCGACGTGATACTTTTGGACGTGATCCATTTGGACGTGATCTTTTTGGACGTGATACTTTTGTACGTGATCATTTTGGACGTGATCCTTTTCGACGTGATCCTTTTGGACTTGTTAGTTTTGGACGTGATCCTTTTGGACGTGACCCTTTTGGAAGTTAACGTGAATATTGATGCGTGGTGTGTGGATTAAGTAATATCCCAATTAACGGTGGTTTATAATTTCTGAGTCCAGATGAACGAAATATTAAGCTGACGAAATGTTCAGGATATTTGTGAATTGAAAATGAGCTTACACTTCGTATTTTTCAATAGCTAATGAAAAAAAACCTTCTAGTTGCTCAAATTGGGTTGCATAACATTATTTTAGGATAGGGGTTGATATTTTAGGCTCACCCTTCAAGCTATATATTACCAGTGTCAGCCCTTCCCCCTCACCTCCGGAAAAATTTAGTTTACCCCCCCCCCCCTCTCCTACATCCCATCCCCCACCACAGCCTACTCATAAAATCGTTATACCATTGTTCCAACAGAAACTCATCGTAAACAAAAAAACCATTTCCTAATCAAATATATTTCTCCACCCCCCCCCCCCTCACCCCCCCCCCCCCCCCACAGAAGAAGGCCGTACGGTGTCAGGTGCCAATCAACAGATGGAGGTCAAGTACATCTGGTCCCCCAACGACGACCCACCTACAAAAACAGAACTCACCCCCTCGCCTTCACACGAAACACCGGACCAGCAGAACGAAACATTCGTTTAACACAACGTCTTTGTGAGGTCTACTTTCGCTTTCTGCCAAATCAGACTTCATACCCCAGGTCTTCGAGACAAACAAATTAAATTTGTTTAAATAAACAAAGTCAACAAAAACCGATGATATTTGGGAAGTCGGTGCGATACAATGATAAACGTTGAATAGGACTGGGCAGTATGAAATATGATGACAACGGGTCATTTTCAGTGATGAAAAAACTTGTCGCATTTGATGATATAACTACACATTTTATCTTCTCATTTCGCTCCCTCCATTCTATAAGAAACATATTCATCCTATAAGTCTGATTTGACTATTACTATGCATGTAGTTATATTTATATATACAGTGGTACGTCGAGATTTGAAGTTAATTCTCTCCGTAAACTTATTAGAACTTCGTATTGTTTAATTTTGAAATCATTCTATTTAAACCTATTGAAGATTTAACGGAGGTGCCCCAAGACTCGTATCTTAAATATCTTGTATGTTAGGGCATTTATTCGTCATGGTACCGCTGTGTATTTATTTTTTAGTTTTTATTTTTAACTGGCTCGTATTTTGTTTCGTTTTTTTTGTTTTCTTCCCATCCCTTGTAGTTTTAATTTTTTTTCACGTTCCCCTCCTTCATCCCTCCATCATCCCCTCGCTATATTGCTGTGTATCATTTGAATTATAAATTTTATGTACAAGAAAAAAAAATTGTTTGATCTTTATGGTGTCTATAGATAATATTGTTTTAAAAAGGTGTTTACTGTTTATGCATTACGAGAGACACCACTGAAAATATTTTGTTATCTCTTCTATTATTTTAACTGTCAGATTTTGGGCGGTTGTTTTTTTTTCTTGTTTTCTTTTTGTTTTTGTGTTTGGGTTGCCCTTTTTATTTGTGCGCTGTTTTATAGTTTTTGTTGTTGCCTTGGTTATTTGCTGTTATTATGTTGTTTGTTTTACTTTCTTTTTTGTGTATTTTCTTTGTTTGCTTTTTAAAATAATTTTTACCAAATGGGTTTAAAAATATAAAGGACATTTTGTTTTCTGACTTTTGATTTTATACATTGAGTTTTTATTTGTACATTTGATATTGAATTTACAAGTTGGCTTTACGGGTGAAAGTCGATGCCCACAGCTAAATCATCAAATTATGCACAAACATGTAATAAGTTAAATTTAAAATTAAGTAATATTTTACGAATATGCTAAATATTGTAATAATTTTCATAAAATGACGTCATTAATTTTCGTGAACGTTTGAGAAAATTTTTCTCCATTACTTCCTGCTTTCATTTTTCTTGTGTTTGTTGATAGTGAATTATTACTGACAGACACTTCAAGCAGATATTTAGCAGACTTGAATCTATAGGCCTAACCCAAGTATTAGCTTTAATTACGAGTATTCCGTAATCTAAGTTTTATTTTAACTTATTTGAAAATGCCATATGTTCAATTAGTGGGCAATACGATTTTAAATGTAAAGATCAGTTTCCTCTCTTATGAATATGTATGTTGTAAGCTATAATTAAATTTTGGGACGTTCATTGTACAAATTCACAATCTAGAGGTAAGTATTATTCGTTCTGTATTAGATCTAAATAGCAACAGGGAGGGGTAGTGCAGTGATTTTTTTTTTAATCCGATTGTTTTGCTCTCATGGTTGGAAGAAGTGCTAGGGTTAGGGTCAAGGCTACTGTGTGGTCGGTTAATAGAGTGCTAGGCTTGTATCCCGACAGTCTCGAGTTCGGATCTCGGTCCGGAATTGAGACCGCAGGGTGTCTTTGAGTCCTTCAGCTCTAATAAGTACCTGACTCCACTTTTGGATAGTAAATGTCGATAACCACACCATCATGAAGCAGATGAACTCAAAATCAAGTAAACGTAAACTCTACTTCAACTGCTCTATGGATCGTTAGGTCAAAAATGGATCATTACTTTACTCTTAGTTCATAGATATTTCCGAAGTTAGGTTTTGCATTAGACCTACGTTTAGAGCTTGGGTAATCGTCAGGTTAAGTACTCAGCGTATCATTATAATAAAAAGGTACGATACTCGAAAAATATATATTCGAATACTTTCTGCTGATCTTTTACTTAGTATAGCATAAGCTGGTGACAGTACTCGATCTAACCAAAATATCCGTTCTCATAGATATATTTTACTACGAATAGTACACAACACAATTCTGAGTTAACTTTTGATAAATAATTGATGTATTTAACATAAATTTCAACTCTTGGTAGCTGAAGGTTGATTGGTTGATTGGTGAAGTTTGAATTAATTGAAGACCCAGAGTTATCCAGAGGATGCAGTCTGGTGTGGTTGAGTGGGTTGACGTTGGGAATGGTACGGAGTCTGGCGACAGCGAGGAAGAAATCGATATGCTAGAACAACTGGACATAGCAATTCTAATAGCCGGTTCCATACTTATTTTTGTCATAGGAATACCAGGTATGATAATTTCCAAAACTTTCAAGAATAATAGCTTGTTAATTGTTGTTTCTAATGTCTTTCTGTGTCACCACATGACATTATTTCACCACAGTATGGCACCTCATTACGTTATTTCACCCCTTCACATTTTGTTACCCCGTCACATTACGTCACACCGTCACATTTTGTCACATCGTCAGATTTTGTCACACCGTCACATTTCTTCACCATGTCAGAATTTTTTTCAAACTGTCACATTACGTCACTCTGTCAAATTACGTCACCCCGTCACAATTTGTCACCCCGTCATATTATGTCACCCAATCATATTTTGGCACCCCGTCACATAATGTCACCCCCCCCCCCCCCGCCCCCAGGCAACATCCTCACCCTAGTTGCCCTCCACAAGAAGGCCATCAAAGACGTGGTGTTGAGCCAGTACCTGGTGGTCATGTGTGCCCACAACATCGTCTCCGTCTTGGTCTGTTCCTTCCGTCACCTGTTGAAGGCCAAGACAGGTTCGGACCTGGTGTATGAAAACTTTTACTTCTGTGGGTGAGTGGGGGGTGGGTTTTTTTTAGTTTAGTGAGTGGGTTAGTTAAGTGAGTGGTATTGTTTGTTTAGTTTGTGGTATTGTTTGTTTAGTTTGTGGTATTGTTAGATTAGTTGGTGGTATTGTTTACTTTAGTATAGTTGGCGGTATTGTTAGTTTAGTGGGTGGTATTGTTTGTTTAGTTTGTGGTATTGTTAGATGAGTTGGTGGTATTGTTTAGTTTAGTATAGTTGGCGGTATTGTTAGTTTAGTGGGTGGTATTGTTTAGTTTAGTATAGTGGGTGGTTTTGTACAGTTTAGTGGGTGGTTTTGTACAGTTTAGTGGGTGGTTTCGTTTAGTTAGTTCGTGTAATTGTTTAGTTTAGGAGTGGTAGTATTACATTAGTGGGGGGGGGGGGGGGGGTATCGTTTAGTATACCATGTGGTATTGTTTAGTTTGGTGGGTGTATTTTTTAGGTCAGTGATTCTTAACCAGGGTTCGATCAAAGTCTGTAATACATGCATTCTTTAAAAATAGCGCTGTTAATTTAAAAACATATTTTATAACTCTCTCATTAATAGCCAAACAATCGTATCATTTATTTCAAATGGATAGGGATCAAGATAAGAGTTAGCCAACGTATTAATACTGGTGATAATCAGTTAAAATTTTATTGTTATATAACTACTGTTTACCAAGAAAGTAAAAGTAAAAGTGTCCCTTTCAAAACTGACGGTCTATGGGGCAAGTTAAGTAGAGTTCACTTGTTTCTGTGACCTCGGCATATGAAGAGATAGTGTGCTCGAGACTTACGGGTTAGTAGTCCAGCTCTCTACCTCTAGACCAGGGGTCTCCAAACTTTTCAGCTCGAGGGCCGCATTGACTATCAAATATCAGTTCGGGGGCCAGAATTTCTTTAAGGCATCTCTTCAGGGTAGTGGCGCTCCCCCCCCCCCAAAGAAATATAATGTATATAGAAATATATACAAATTTCAAATGTCTCTAAGGAAGTCATTTTCTTGCAATTCAATGACCTCCAGCTGCAGTTCATCTTTGCAACTGGCCACTTTTGCTTCAAATGGGTTTTGAAACAGTCTCACTTCTTCTGCCTATGAATCCAAGTCAGAAAACCGCTACTGAAATTGCAGCTGGAAGTCTTTAATGATCTTGTATGTAAATGACGTGGGGAACTCAGTGGTTGTTTTAGCCTTAAAGACCTTGCACTGCTGAAAGTGTGTCAAGTTGTTAGCCTGTACTTGTTCCAAAAACATGACAAGTTTGTATCTAAAGGCCTTTATGTGGGCGTATAGATCAGAAACTAGATTTCACTCTGTTGCCGTTTTAGGTTCAGAAAATTTAAATGACTAGTTATGTCTGCAACAGAGGCCAATTTCTATACCCACTCTTCATCAGACAAAAATGGCTCTGACTTGCCTTTACGATCAGGAAGTCACCTATTTCATTTCTTAGATAGGCTACTCTGCTCAGAATTTTCTCGCAAAATTAGCAATCTTACGGATGTGAAATATGGTAAATTGTGCGTTTTTGTGTTTGTCTCTGAACTATCTATGGTTAGATATCCTCTTTGGTAACAGTGTCATTCATTATAAGTAGGGAAGCCAGCTCTTGTGTTATATTCATATCTTCACCCACATCTCTAATGAACACACGAAGTTGACAGGTGGAACAGCTGCCCAGCGACTCATCCATTGCAATTGAAAAATGGCTGAACTTCCTTGAATTTTTCGCTATTAGAGTCACTATGTTTTCACAAATGTCTGCAACACGACGAGTAATTGTATTTGCACCCAAAGCTACATTTTCAAATAGTTTTGATTTTCTGTGCAAAGCTCCTCAGCCACCTCAAACAAACATTTATTCTGTGGACAAAAAGATCGTCGCGGGCCGGATAAAATGACCTCGCGGGCCGCATCTGGCCCGCGGGCCGTAGTTTGGAGACCCCTGCTCTAGACGACTCCGTCCCATAAGAAAACAAAAGTAAAATCTCATTTATCTATTGCCATTTTGTTGGACTGACTAAATTAA